TTGATAAAATGGATTATTTAGGTAGCAGCCTTAAGCACATTTTTCAGTTAAGTGTGAACAAGTGAATAAACATGATTGTATTGAGTACTTCATAGATATGAATTCAAAGTCCTGTTCACAGACTTCAGTTGATATAGTTTCTAACAGTAAAGCTTATTTCAATAGCCTGTTTAATTTTCCTGAAAAAGCAACAAGTTGTATCATAGATTATTATTACTAAACATGTTTTGTCTTACATGCAGCATTAGTATTTCACTTGGCAGTGCCATGTATTGAAAGCTGACTTCTTTAACCAGAGACTCATTTCCCTTTCCACCAGGAGTACTTTACATCCTATTGTGAATACCATTCCAATGTATATAACTCCAGTCTAGGAAGTAGTTGCTTAAAATTAAGGCTGGATTGAAAACGCTAATGAATCAGATGAAAACATGGCTTGCTAAAAGCTCTCATTGTCTGGCTGATTTTATATGCTCATAAATAAAGACTGGGTCACCTAATCCTGAAACCCTTGTATTTCATTGAGTGAACTTGAAAGCAGCTGTTTGACTGTGCAGTAATGTTGGCAGGAATAGTGCTTGAGTGCACCTTTCCCAATGTTCAGTGCTTGAATGGTTCTTGACCATTCACAGAGGTGCCTGTAGTTCCTTAATTAGAAACAGATGTCCTAAATGAAAAGGATGATTAGAGCATTGTTAGTAGATCAACTGCTTATAGCAAATTCCTGGCTATATGTTGAATTTCAGTAGGATATTTTTTGTATGCATAAAAACAACAAATTCCTTAATTGGCTGTATACAAATTATTGCAGATTGTGATAAAATGATGTTTGACTAGAAAGATATCAATTCCTTATAGTAACAATTTTCCTGAAAGGTACTTAATTAAAGGATTTTAAAAGTTTTTCTGTATTTGTATGTGTACAGATATGTATGTATCTGCATTTGCATATGACTCTAGGAAAGTTCTAAAAGCTGAACTTGTAGATGCATACTGCATTGACTAAGATTTTTTTGAAAGAAGGCATTTTTTTAATTTAATATTTCCCTAACTTCAGGAAAGGAGCCCCTTGGGAAATAATTTTAAAATTCTAATAGTCTTTTCTTCATTTGTATATACACAAAAGGATAAAAATTATCCCAGAGAATGCCTGCTTCTCCTAAGTAACAGCTAATATATTGTTCAAAATTTATTTTAATATTTTTATCTTTTTATTAGTCATTTTTGTTGGTTGCTTTACTGGCATAAGAAAACAACTTTGTGAAAAGTTGATTTGTGAAAGTTTTCATCATCTTCGAAAGCACAGCAGAAACATAAATTGTAATCAGCATCTGGACAAATTAGTTTCAGCTGTTATATTTTTTGATTTCTGGAGTTTGTCTTCTCTCATTTCCTCTCCTTCCCCCACTACATACCTCATTAATTTGCAAATATATCTTTGTTTCTTTATTCATCAGATCAACATTTCCATTCTCTTCTTTTCTAAAACTTCAGTTCTGCTTGCTGCCTTAGAAAGTCCTTCTCTCCTTGAACACTTCTGTCTGCTGCAGATATTTGATCACTACTACTTTCTCTTTCCCTTTTGTTTGCTTTCTTTAGTCCTTTGTTCACTCACATCATTCCAATGAAATTGTTCATCTTTAGGGTTTCATTGGCCTCCTCCAGGTCAGAAATAGTATTATATTTAGTTCTATATAGATATAGATGTGTCAGGAATATTTTTTTGAACTGAATCTTTCCTGAAATGCTGACTACTGTATTTTGGTTCACTTCATGGAGCAGTGTCAGAGCAATCTCAGCACATAATGGCCATTCAGTCCACAGGACCACATTAAATCCAGCTGTTAAGCTTAAAAGCTGCTGGAAGTACATAGTAAAGATGTCAGATCTTCAGTGCTGGCTCTCTGTCTCCTGATGGAATTCTTTTGGTGCAGACCATTTCCTAATGCAGATGTGTGGCCTCTGCTGCCTTGACATCTGTTGCTTTTCTGTGCTTTGCTGCTTCGGTCTTACCTGTTACCATACATGGAATTTAGTGCACCCCAACTGAAAAGCAGGCCCCACCCATGTTCAGCCTTCATCCAGCCTTGGTTACATCCTCGGTTAACAGGATTTCTAGCTGTGACTGAAACTGATCCTGTCTCCACTTTGACTATCACAGCTTCTTGTGTTGTGCTACTGCCAGGATACTTTCCTTGTGAAGTAATTATCTGTTTATGGTCTTTCCCGTTAGGTGTAAATGTCATTCTTCCCCTTTGAAGCACTCTACACCATTGCACTCATCCTGCTATTCTCATACTAACCTAATTTTTTTGCAAACACTTTTCACTGAGTACACTATATGACCATTTCATCAACTGCTGTCTCTTCAGCTGTTCACTTGTGTCTTTTGCGTGTAGTAGTGTCACAGCTGAGTGTAGCAGGATCTCCGAGAATAAGTTTCCTTCTTCAGTAAATATACTGTATTTTGCTTCAGTTGTATTTTTGCACTGCAAAATCAGATTTTTTTTTAAATGTCCTTGTATGGAGGAAGTATTCTTATGTAGCTGTGTTAAGAGAAGTCCATACACATATGCATGTATGTTATAAAGGTGTTTCTAGCAGTTGCACTGGTAATGTAATTTCAGAAGCAGGATCTGTGCTTGAGATCTAACATATTATACCTAAGTAACTTATTTTAATACAACACAGTGAATGGAAAAAAAATTGTCTCTTGCGGCTGTTATACTTGTAAACAAATGGTTCTGGATTCAATCTTGTTTCCTTTAAGAAGCTGGTAACTCAGAAAGGCCGAGGATTTCTCCCATACCTCAGCTGAGCTTTTATATGTGCTTACAAAATCAGCTATTATTAGTTGCATTTCTATTTGCCTGTGGTACAGTTAGTACTCTGTATACTACACAGTGCTACACAGTGTGATAGCACTAAAGTCCAGTCAGACATTAGGAGGAATTTCTTCACAGGAAGGGTGAAGGATTGATTAAACACTGTGATGGGCTGCCCAGGGAGATGGTGGATGAGATATTTAAGGATAGACTGGACGTGGCACACAGTGCCGTGGTCTAGTGATATGGTCATGTTTGGGCAAAGATTGGACTGGGTGATCTCAGAGACCTTTTCCAGCCTAATTGATTCTGTGATTCCGTAATCCTGTTTTTTCCAGGTGACTTATTTCTGGCTACAAACTCTGTCTAATTGGTATCTCTTTTTCTGACATTACATGTCTTGGGTTTGTAAGTTTTTCAGGGACAGGGCTCTTTTCCTGATAAACAAGAAGTGATTGATTTGTATGGTTGCTAGCAATATATGTTCACTGTGCTGCAAGATGCAAATTAGGACTGTATTAAAGCACACAGTTTAAAATTTCTTGGAAGATAACCTTTACATCCAAATCAGGCAGTGAATGCCTGCAGAATATCAAATTAATTTTGTCATCAGAGGATAAGCTAGTCAATGATACTTGGAGAGATTTTTTTAAGTACCTTTTCTATTTTGAGTGTATACTTGCGAATACAAATGCAGAAATCACTTATCTCTCTCCAGTGAAAGCACAAAACATGCAGTTTTCATTACTTAGCTACATCTCAAGAAAGCTACATTTTTCTGTTTTCTTCTGCCAATTTCAAGGAAGAATGCTCAGAAAATGCTTAACAAACTAATTGAATCAGGAAAATCAAAGGGGTCACCTGTTGGCCATGTCTGTTTTAGCTGTCTGTTTAGGTTGTGTTTCAAGCTGGGTTTGTTTGTTGGGTTTTTTTAGCAACATCTGTTCTTACTCATGTTTTCTGTGTGTGTGGGGAGAGACAATGTTTAAGGTATGTTAAGCCATTTGTTCAAACTGACTGCAGCAGCATCAAAGAAATTTGACAGGCAATGCCAACTTTTTAAAGAAAAAATATCCAAAGCAGCAGAAAGTAAATACACCGTGCCTTGATTTTTGGAAGTTGTTTAATTAATACTCCTGAGGATTTTTACTTTCAAATAACTGCAAGGGAAAATGTCATTAGTAGAAAAGAAATAAATAATTTTACTGAACATTACTGAAAAAATCACAACTTTCTGTAGAGTGTTCAAGCAATTTCAAAGAATAATTATTAACTTGAAATTACTGAATATTGACCTGTTAATGACAGCTTGTTATTAACAGTTGGTACCTCCTGGCCATGCTGGGGATGGTGTTTAATGGTATTTGAAGAAGAGATATGCAAAAAAGAGGAGTTTTAGATATTCTTTAAGGCGACCTTAGTGTTAAAGGCTATCCAAGAGGGATCAGACATGTTGTGATGGAAGACCATACGGATATTTCTCGTAAGTTGGTCCTTTGTGAACTCTTTTCTGAGTGTTTTTGACACTAGAAAGTTCAATTCATTATGTTCTTAGTATTTTGCTTCTGAAGCTACAGATTTCTTCTTTTTTTTTTTTTTAATTTTTATTTTCTCTTAGTTTATGGCATCTGGATTTTAGTTACTGAATATTGCCTCAGCAGTGCAAAAGAGGAAGTACAGAATTCAGATTAATGCAAATGTTCTGATGTAGGAAAATTAAAACATACAGAAATAACTGTTTTAGTCTTGTCTGCTGAGTGTACGACAGTTTGTCTACCAGATGACTCATAGCTTTGCTGATATCTCTGCAAGTTTTTATGTTTTGATTTACATCTTAAAAGCTTAATTAAAAAAGATCTACGAAGTGGTCAAGAAGAGATGTAGCAGAAATGTAAGAATCCAGATAAACAGGAGCCTTTTTACTGTAGCCTGTAGTTGAACAACTCCTGCACAAATCTGTAGTTTGTTTTAAACATATATCTCTTTAGATTGACAAGCTTTTTTATTGTTTATGTTAGTTTTATTGTTGCACACTTGCAAACATTTGTTCATAATGCTACTCTTTTCCAGCACTGTGATAATTAATTATGACTTCTGTAGTAAACAAATGACTTGAAATTATTGAAGCATGTCATAAAATAATCTTTCTCCTTTTCTGTCTTTTTCCAATAACAGATAATTTACCTGAGAGAATCCCCAGAAGACGTGTACAGGCTTATATTGTCAGGAACTGTTTCATATCTTCCTTTCAGGTAAATTGACAAGTTAACAGAACTTTTTGTACCTTGTTATTTTGAAGAAGAATGTAACATTTTTCAGTACTAATTTTGACTGGGTTGGTTTTATGGGGTTTTGTTTTATTTTACTTTGTTTTGTGTTTTGGGGTAGTTTTTTGGTTTGTTTGGGGTTTTTGTGTGTTGTTTTTTGGTTGGTTTGTTGGTTGGTTGGTTTTTGGGTTTTTTGGGGTGGTTTGGAGGGTTTGTGTTGAAGTTTTTACTTGGGACACACTGTCTGAACCTTCAGTACTCAGGAATCAGCTGGAACTGAAGTGTACCAGCAGAAGGTGAAGAAGCCCCACTGTTTGTATCCACTCGTTGAGCTTTTTGATCTGCATTGCTTCGCATTTGGCAGTCTGATTTTGTGCCAGTAGCTGATAGTTAAACATATCAAAATATCTGTCATTCACCACAGAGAGCTTGCAGTACTTAATAGCATTCCTTATGCACAAGACAGTATTTGCAGATTGCTACACATGTTTGACAAATGGGAAGTTGTCATCAGTGCATCAGGCATCAATTCCAGGAACCTTCTGCATTGCCTGTGCCCTCCTGTGCTGTCCCTCCCACATGTCAGAGTGGTTGCAGTTCCCTGTGAGGACCATAGCCTGAAAGCATGAGGCTGTTTCTATCTGTCTGTAGAAGACGTTTTCCTTTCGTTCTTTCTCATCAGGTGGTCTGAGACACATGCTACTACCATGTTACCTTTATGTGTCTTTTCTTTTACTTGAATAAAATTCTATTATTTCTGTGTCCTCCTAATTTCTGCCCCTTTTCACACTGATTCATAAGGAAGGAAAGGATAGAAAAAATAACTAGAGACAGGCATCCTTCAAAGTTCTTCAAAAGTTCTTCTTCCTCTCTGTTGAAATTTGAACACGATATGTTTTTTACTTATTAGAAGCATTAGCTGATAATGGCTGCATGGTCTCACGGTCTTCTGCCAGGGCAAAATATTCCCTGGTGTAGATTCAGTTTAATTTATTTCTTTACTTCACTGTAGTATTTCAGTAGAATTCTTACTCTCTGGTGCTTACAAATTTTGATAATGGTCGCATACTAAAACATGCAATTCCTGGATCAACAGAATTAGAAAACATGTAATTGAAAGAGGCTGTTTAAATGAAACCAGTTTCTCCTCTTGTTCAAGAGTGAACTATTATGCATCTTAAGTAAAATATTCTATTTATTACGATGTTTATCCTAACGGTCCATGGCAGAAATTGAACATTTCAACTTTACAAGAACTGTAGGTGGAGTGATTTTCTGTTGTATCTTGTTAACATAACTTATTTTATGTTTTTTTATTCTTGTAAAAAATGCAAGAAAAATATTCAAGGTACAGGAAATGAAATATTTGACATAATTATTTCAGTTTAATGATAATTATCTTGAAGTAATTATAAAAGGTGTTTTAGAGAAGTATCTTCAATTGCTTTCACTTGGATTAAAATGCAGTAATTATGTTTTGGTCATCGTATCTTACAGGGATGCTTCCTTTGGTACTTGCAGTTTTCATCTGACATTACTGGACTGTTTTCATGCAATAAACAAGGTCAGTAAACTAATATTTTTCACATTTCAAAAAATTAGCTAATTGTTGCCCATCAGAAGAAAAAAAGCTTAGGAAACTGAGATCCAATTAGGGCTGTGAAGTAGCAGGTATGGTTGTTGCCTAGTTTACTATGCATTATGCATTGTCACAAAAGTAGATGCAGCTTTCACAGAAGTCAGCTGATGTCTTATAGAATCAAGAAGTGAAGATATTACAGAGGGAATTTTGAGTTTTACTTAGGCAATGTCTCGAGACACCTCTAATCCTAAAGCTGTGCGTCAGGTTTATTATATGCCCCCTGGTGTTATGTATTAGGCTGAACATAGCCTTTGAAAGTGTTTTTGAATGGGCTTGCTATACACTTCAGGCATTTGCAGCATATGCTAATGATCTCAAGTTTTGCTTTAGTAATAGAAATAGAACGCATGTTAGGAGGTAGGTGCTTTTTTAACTAGAAAATTGTAAAATCTGTATTTTGTAGCAATATAGCAGTGAAGTAGTGCAGCAGTGAAGGATAAGAGAATCAAAACACATTCTTTTTAGTCTGTATGAGTATTGAAATGGGGAATTATCCAGCTCTCTACTATATTATTGTCTTTTGCATTATGGGTATCTCTACAAAATTACTGATGTTTTTACTGGTTAAGCCAGAGCTTCTTGAAGATTGGTGCTTTTTTGGGTATTTTGAAAATGGTTACTTGTATACCAAGACAGGTGCATTGCTATTCTGAGGTGAACAGCAAGGAGAGCTACAAAAGATGAGGTAGTAAAAGAGAAAATTAGAATGTAGTATTTTTAATATCTGGGATTTATCTGTGCTTGTGCTTCCTGTTTTAACAAGTGGATAAACTGTTAGTTACCCAGATGATTACATTTTTAATACAGTGTTAATTATTATGGTTGTGGCTAATTAAAGGACATCATGGACTCACATTAATATCTGCTTAGGACTTCGTGACTGCAAACAATTGAAATCAGTGAAGAGACTAGCAAATAGCATTTATGCACAAAAAATGTTTCCAGTCCTTGAATATGGTCTTTAGAATCTACTCACAGCTTCAATATCTTTTTTTTTCTGGTTATTTTTCCTTTTTATTTTGTGCACCTAACAATGATGAAAAGACCAAATGCTTCAGTAATCTGGGATTTTTGTAGTGATTTGGCGAAAACAAAAAAAGTCAATTTACTCATCTAACTTCACTTATATTTCACTTATTGAAATTTACAGACCTGTTTTGAAGCAAGACTGAGTTTATCTGTATTTCTTAAATTATGTGAAGAAAGAGGAAAGTGTGTATTAAAGGACTTTATGTCACCAAAAAGAGTGATAAACTGTCCTCATTGAAGAGGCATCTTTTAAGAGCTGTGTTCTGAATTTTAGGCTTTGCAGCATGGTTTCCTGGATTTTAGTACGTTTGATGTAAATGAATATGAGCATTATGAAGTAAGTGTTCAGTATCAATATTTTGATTTGTTTGCTGTTACTAATGCTAAAACAATTGCTTATAATTTGTGCTATTGTTTTGTAGTATTAAGTTCCATTTCTGTTTTGTCTTTTTAAGTTAAGATAGTTAAATAAAGGTTCATAAAGGTCCAAGAGAGAATACTAAAATTCAGATTTAAGCATAATTATGCTCAAACATGGGGGAAAACAGAAAACAAAATGGAAATAAATGGGATTGTCCATTATTATTAAATCCCTGGATATTTTTGAGCAGTATTGATAAAAAACTAAAAGGCATAAAAGCTCAAGTATAACTGAATGCTAGAGAACAATCAAAGTATGCATTTCAGAACTCTCAGCAAAAATTTAATAGCACTCTTTCAGGTAAAGAAGGAAACAGGGCAAGGAAACTCCAAGTGCATAAAATTCACTTTGGTACATAGGAAATTAGTGTGACAAGAAGGTCTGCAACTCTTGACTATATGCAGTCTCAGAAATGCAAAACTGCAAGATATCTGTAAAGAGAAAATTAAATTCTCCTAGAGCTTAAAAAATCATTATTTAATTTGTGAACAGAGGTAAGACCAATTGGTAAAACCAATTTAGAATCCTATAAAAAATAAAAAATTGGAAGTTGCTCTTCATCTGAAGGGCATCAGTTGCATTGTTCTAAAATTCTGATTTAGAAAGAGAAACACAGGGCAGAAATGTGAAGTTGAGAGCATCTGTCATCCTTATGATGAAAAAGAAAGCAGGCAACTAACATAACTTCCTTTGACAAAAATTATACATCAATTCTATATAGCATGTATTTTGAAACAATAAGGAAAAGCCTGAAAATACAGGGATAATGATAAACCAAGCATTTTCTCTTGACAGAGAGCAGAAAATGGAGATTTTAACTGGATAATACCAAACAAATTCATTGCCTTCAGTGGACCTCATTCAAGAAGTAAAATTGAAAATGGTATGCTTAAAAGAGGAGGTGGGGAACACAAGCCCACTGCTTTCTTAGTTGATTGTTATCAGTAAGAACAAGCTTTAAAAATTGTTCCTCAAACAGTGTGTTTTTTCCTTGGCTCTTTTCCTTTTATAAGAACTCTGGTAAAATTTTAATGCTTGGTTTAATTGTATCTAACCTAGGTGACTGTATTAAAATTCCATTTTCAGTTAGTCTATTTCTTTATGTTGTCTCTATTTTGAAAGTATTTTCATATCTTGTTTTTTAGTCTTTTCTTTTTTTATATTTTTCAGTTTAAGGCTTACTCTTTTCTAATCTTCTGTTCTCAAATAGGCTATCCCCACCATGCTCCAGAGGCTTATTTCCCATACTTCAAGCAACATAAGGTCACCACTATAATACGCCTCAACAAAAAACTGTATGATGCCAAACGATTTACAGATGCTGGATTTGAGCATTTTGATCTCTTCTTTGCTGATGGAAGCACACCTAGTGATACTATAGTTAAAACATTTCTAAATATTTGTGAAAATGCTGAAGGTGTAATAGCTGTTCATTGCAAAGGTATGATGTAAAAAACAGTTTATATTACAAGTGATGTTTATAATTACAGTTCCTGAGGTATTTTGCAGTATAATTCTACTCTGTCTGCTTGTTAACATCTCAGCCAAGCTGCAGCTTTTCCATTCAAATTATTTCTATGGTTCTGTTCAGCACTTCATCTTCTAATTTTGTTGAATTCCAGAAAAATCTTCCCAGCCATTCCCAAAATGAGATTAGGGAAAGTGAGATTTCCAATATTAATAGCTCCTTCTGCTAGAAAGTGTTAGTAATTTCAAAGGTTGCTTTGGACAGGCATTTGAAGTCCTTTCAAGTTTTTTCTGAAAATACATGTTTAAATGTACCAAGTCATAAACTTTTGGAAACAGTGCAGCATTTTGGAAGATTCCTCAAAATACATGGGTGTTCCTTGACAATCACCAAAATCTTCATCCCTCAGAATTTCTTTATACTAATTTGGGCATGCTTTAGATATCCATTCCTCCAGAGTTAGACTGCAAAGATTTTAAGAGCCTAGCCAATGCAGCTAGTATAGTTACTCAGTTTTCTGTGGTTCTAGAGGAAGAATGTTTTCCTTCCCACACCATCTTTAATAGTCTATCAGACATTTCTTCTCCACAATTTTGCATCACTAGTGTACCTGATAAAGCTGTGATTGAAGAAGGGTCTTTTCTTAACCTGTTTGCTTTGGATCTGCAAAGACTGCATTTTTGTTCTTGTACCTGCCATCCATTTGCTGCATTTAACAGAATTAAATTGGAAAGTGAAAGAATTGTTGAAACCAGCGTCTTGACTCTGGGGAAACAAGTGCATACTCTTATTCTTCACTGAGGCAATAAATTCAGGCATATCACTTAATTGGTTATGCCAGGGTGTTGAGTATCAGTGATACTAGTGCTTTGTTTTCACTCAAATTAAGGTCTTCTTTGGTAGATGTCATACTAATAATGTCTAGCCTGCACTTACTCTTGAGGAAGTCCAGAATGCTGTAACCTGTTCCTAAAGCTGAGCAAGATGGAATCTTGTGTGGTTGTCTTGGCTGTTGTGTTATACAGAAGATTTTACACTGGTGTTGATCAATCAATTGGCAAATGAGAGAAGGTGGTGTGTGATTTGCACAGCAAGTGATTGAGGAGAGATACCATGTTGCTGGAGCTTTCTTCTTTTGCTGCTCATGTTTCCCGAGGGAAATAGAACTGTTTTGAGGGTCATTTTAAATACAGTTTCTCACTCTGGAGTACTTCTTGCCTGTGCTAGCTAGAGCCCAGACGTGCTTACTGCAAATTTGGTTTTTTTCTTGAGAATTAAAGAGATTAATTACAGGAGCGGCTGGAAGAACAGCTGATTTCAGTGCAATATATGATTAGTTTGCAAGAAGGTGCTGGGAGAATTCTGAAAAAAAAAAAAAAAGACCAACTGTTTTATCCCATGCTTAAAAATATTCTCATACCATCATACATATTCATATATTCAGGTAAATAAAGGTGGCTAAACTTAAGGATATTTGTAAAGTTGCTGGCTTTGGAAGGTTGCCTCACTCAAAAAAATACGAACAGTGTGTTAGTAACCTTATATATGAAGAAAAAGATGAAAGAGTAACTCTCCCTTACCACATTTGATAAGTAGAGATTTCTTTTGATAAATTAGGCAGGTAACTACTTGCCCAAGTAACAGTGTCTGTAGTTACAACAGGTTCCAGATGGAGATGGATATATAAATACAAAAGATGGATCTATAAAAGAAGCCATTCTTTTATCTTACATAGCTGGTCTTGGACGAACTGGCACACTTATTGCCTGTTACATCATGAAGCATTATCGGATGACAGCTGCTGAAACTATTGCCTGGATCAGAATAAATAGACCTGGTTCTGTGATTGGGCCACAACAGCATTTCCTGATGGAGTAAGTAGATTGAGTGTAAATTATTGCCAAAAATAAATCTAGATGTCTTTTTCTTCTTCTTCTGCTGTTGTACACTTAACAATTTTCAGTGTTAATTTGTTGTGTTTTGGGCCTTTTTTTCCATGTTATGATAGCAAACAGGCAGAACTTTGGACAGAAGGGGATATTTTCCGTGCAAAGTTGAAACGAAACCATAAAATTGCTGTAACAAGAATTCTGTCAGGAGTAGATGATATTTCAATTAATAACACAAGAAACAGGAGAACCATCCAAAAGGACATTGAACTGGTAACCACCCAAATATTGTGCTCTTGTAAAAGTTCGAATTGTTGAGAATCTCTCAGGTTTTGAAAAAACCTGTGGGTACACTAAAATTTTGTTAATCAAATTTTTTTTCTGTTCATCCTTTTTGTATAAAAGGATATGGGGGGGAAACTAGGGACAGCAATTATGAAAAATGGAGTTTAGAACACAGGTGAAGTAGGAGCATCATAATGCTTTTAGTCTTTTGTAATTAGGTCAGTAAGAGAAAAAAGTATTCACATTCTGCAGTCAAAAACACTGATTTCATTTTGGATTGTCTGTTGCTTCACTGTGTATATTTAAAGGGAGGGGTTGAAAGGGTGGGTTTTTTACTCATTTTAGTTTCTAAGTAATTGCAACTTCTGTAATACCTTTTGATGGTGCTTTTTGAAAAAGGCAGTACTGCTGTTGTGAAAAGGCAAGTGAAGGAGGGAAATGCTGTGTTTAGTGAGGATTATACTATACCTAAGCAAAGATTTTATAATATATTGCTTCCAATGCTTTAAAAGTAGACAATATTGCAATGCATGTAATTCATGACACCACTTAATGGTTTACAGCTTCAAAAGCAGCAAACAGAAAACTGGAAGGAACAGAACTATATTTATGCAAGTGAATTTCCTTTATCCTGTCAAGATAATTCTAAGCTTTAAGATAAGGTTAATTCTTAAATATCAAAGTGTCTATATTTAATCTTGATTTATCCCTTTCCCCCCTCCACTTATCCAGTACAGTGATGATGATGAAACAAACTGTTTAACACAAGGGGATAAGCTTCGTGCTCTGAAAAGCAAAAGGCAAGCAAAATCTCCAACTACATCTCCACTAGCGTAAGTCAGTTTCTGAATATATAAAATTCCAGAAGCACTTTTATCCTCTTCTTCATGCATAATTCCTGTTGCCCCCAAATGTTTGTTATCAATGCTGCTTTTACTCCTCTAAAACAAGTACAAAATTCACCATTTCTCTGAAGCCTTGGTGAATGCTGAGGAGGCAGGAAGATTTGGTTAAAGAAGTGCATGACTGAATTTCTAGTTTTCTGCATAGTTTTTGATGCTGTTATTCTGCACTTTACAAGCTCCTATAGCACTTCTGAATGCTTTAGTTATAGTTGAATCACAAACATTCCCTTGTCTTTCCTGTGGTAGTATAAAAATGAAAGAATATGACTGTGTGGTTTTGTTTGATTGGCTCAAATAAGATATGTGCTGGTGTTTGAAGTAAAGTCAGCTACCTAAGAAGAGTTGAAAGAAGAACTTTTAGGTTCCTTTCATTTTCTCTTCCTTGGAAAAGAACTCTCCCTAAATCTTATGGGCTTTGTGATAATGTGGTGAAATCTGGTGGATCTGGAAGGCAGAGTGGCCACTGGTTTTTTTTCAGTAAACAAATTCAAAGAAGTGCATTTCTGTCAGTGAAACTGGTAGTCTCTTTATTTTAGGCAAGTCCTGAAACACTACCTGTAAATGAAAGTTTGCATCTATTGTAGTTTGTATCAACTGTAGGTACAAAATCTTTCTACCTGCCCTTAAAAAAACTGCAAAAGAAAGCAACACTTGCAAAACTTCGCTGGATCTCATTTGACTGCGAGGAAAGGAATGGTGACCCCTGGCTGTCAGACTTTTGCAAATGACACATCACCAAAGTCACACGCCACAATCAACTTGGCTTTTGTTGTGTTGTCCTTCTGTAGGATATGATGCTGCTACCTTGCTGGCATTTTTATTTTCTTTTTCTTCTTTTTTAAGATCAGCACTGTCATCAGACTTTTAGAAAAAGTGAGAATTATGTAGTAAAAATGTGCTGAAGGTAAAGAAATATATCTTTGGAAACATATCACACAGTTCACATACTGCTATGTCTGATTTCTACTTTTATTTTAAATTGTCTTCTGTTCATGCTTATCATTTACACAGGCAGCCATATAAGAAACAAGAACAAAGACTGTGCTCAGCTGACATTTAAAAAATGCCTAAACAAATCACCTCAAATAGCACAGTAAAATACAACTACCTTGCAGATTGGTTTCCAAGGCACAGAGCCTTAGTTGTCAAGGGCTTAATTGCCACACACTTCCTTTATGTTCCATACAATGAATGTAGACTGTGTGGTAACTTATTCAGAGCCATTGTCTTAATAGCTTCTTAATAAAAGACCTATCTACTATTAAAATATTATTTGGCTTATGAAACGTTCTGCAACGTGCCTGCTGTAGTTAGGTTGTACTTGTGTAGAACTAAAATAATTGACCTGGAGTTTATAACTGGTTTTTAAGTTGTGCATTGTCACTCAAGGAGTTTCAATATACCTCTTCCTGTTCCCCTGAGTTACTCTTATGGTTTGAAACTTGTACTGAAATAATTCAGTGAAAAATGAATGTGTAAATTCATACATTTCTTTGTGTTACTGTTGTTTTATTGCAAGGAATATTTGGCTGCTTTACATGAGTGAGGTTTTTCTACTACAAGAGGTGTCTGTCTCTTTCCTTTTTAGTTTAGTCTGTTAAAATAATTATTCTGAAATTGATCACTTTTATCTAAGCAAACAGACAGAAGCTTGTAAATCTTCCAAGTAATTTTATTTCAGAGGAAAAAAGAAGGGGGTGGGGAGGCGGGCAAATTAAGAGCACCAGGAGCTTGGACAGTTACAATCTTTGAAAACTAGATGCATTATTTACTTTTAAGTCACAAGAGATTTGTGTAGAGTTTTTATTGAAGTTGATTGTATAAATTCCTTATGCATTGATGACTGGATATTTTATATATGTTCTAATAAGCAATATTCTGCACCTGTGGCAAAGGATTATGAATCTTTTCTTCTTACACAGAAAGGTAATACCACCCATCAATCCGGTTATTTACATAAGTTGTTTGTTTCTGCAAACTTACCTGTCTCTGATGTAATGTTTTAGTATCAGAATGTATGATTGTGAAGTAGGATGTGTGAATGCAGGCTGATCCAACTGTGTAAGAGATGGCAGCAAGTGGTTAGAGATGTCCTGCATGCACTTATTTCCAAGAGTGATACAGACTTTCTTTAAAATAGGTGACTTTGGTGAGGATTTCAGAAGATTTGCTTTTCATTCCAGCAGCACATGGGTACTGCATTGGCAATTTATGGCTGCGCAGATTGTTAGTCATAGAAAGTAAGAAATGCTTGGCAAAGTTTATAGAGCAGCATCGTTTTGAAGAACTTGAAACAAGCTAAAATGCACCAAAGCTTTTGCTTTTGAATTTTTTTTCATCTCTACCTCCCCCTCCAATCCCTTTTTAGATGGCTCCTAGCTATGCTGGTTTCTACACTGTGTAGCATTGTCATCTGGTGGATTGTATGTGGCTCCCTTCTGCCCAGCCTGCTATTCTGTCTAGATGGTTTAAGAACATAGTAACCATCAGGACCCTCAGAGAGAGAGCCACTGTGTAAGTGTCCCATTCCATTTCTCTACAATAGCTCACACTTGCTGTCTAGTATGTCTCATAAATGCATGTTTTCATGTCATGTTTCTTACTGGCTTTGTTGCAAGAGTGAATTTCACTGCTCTGGCTTTGTTATATTCTTGTGTGTATTATTTGGAATAATTGAGTGATTTTTATGGCTGGCTTGCAATATACAAAGGCAAAGAACTCTTATAATTAAAATAATTTTTAGTTTTTAAATGTTTCTTCACTGCAGATAAGCGAAAGTATGTAAGCAAAATTGTCTGTAAGAAAGAAAAAGTACTGCTTTAAAATATGATCCTATCCTTTGCATATTGCAGCTACAGATGCTTGCTTCAGTTTTACTTCAAAGTGCATGAACTTGCAAAGTAGGCTGGTTTCCCAACACATTATTTTATTCCCATGAAATGCCAAGATTTAGAATTTGTTAGGAATGTCAGTAGGTCTTTGTTTCAAAGAAGGCATCTAATATTAAGCCATCACATAAAACATGAATCCTTTTATCTTTTTGACATATTAGAAGAGGGACAGGTTGCAGTGTTAGGTCAAGGTTCATTTGTTTAGGTTCATTTGTTTACCCAGCCAGTCTGGTTTCATCGTCTTTTGTTCACAATTACATTTTCTAGAGCTTTAGGAGACTTCTTACATTCCTTTATTCTGTTACTTGGATTCAGCAGCTGAGGAAACATTAATAGCATAAAAGTTCCTTGAGTACAGTTTTCACTTTTTCTTCACTCCACTTTCATCAGAGTAGCTGCAGTGATTTCTGTGCCTTTGCTTCTACTTAAAAGGTGCAATGTTTTCATCAAAGGATGACAACTTACATCTTTCGGTCAAATGAAAATTCCAACAGCATGTAGAACTACCAGGACATGCAAATGAGCTTTTTGCTTGCTTCTGAGTCTTCCTGGAGTTCCTCTGTCATCACCACCCTTGAAGTAGAATGGTTACTTTGGGTGAATGCTTGAAATTCATTAATCTGAGACCTTGGTGCTCACAGGTTTAAAAAATGGTCAAAAAGTCTTTTGGTAAGTAAGAATTGGCATTCTCTCCTGGCAGGCATGAAGATTGAGATTTTCTGTCATCCTTATCTTTGGCCTTGCAACTTTCTGTCTGCACTTTTTAAAAAGCATGAAAGTCTTTCTGCTAACCTAAGTGACTGAATAGCTATAGAATCAGAACTGGGAGACTTTGCACAGGGTAGTTATTCAGTCAGCCTTCACTGAGATCATCTTAATCTGATCTTTTTTAAAAAAAATAAATAAATAAATAAAAATCCCTTCACCTTAATTTTTTTCCCTAATTTTGTCAAATAACATACTCGAGAAGCATTATTCCAAATAACATGAGAGGCGTGTTTTCAAAATTTTACACTGAATGAAGCACTATTTCTTTTCTCAGTGAGGTCTCTGGAAGTCAGACCTCAGATTTCTGAACACATACTAAAAACCTAAACTTAAAACAGAGGTTAAAGAGGTGAAGCAATCTGTGCTTTGTTTTGCTGTACTGTGCTGTAAGATAAATTTCAGTCAACTATCATCCTTTCTTTCTCTTACCATGTCTGTTTTCTGTCTAAAAACTAGAAACACTTCCTTACTAGAGGAAAAAAGGCTGATGTTTGTAGATGTGATGCAAGCAATTTAGTTACTGCCATTTGCTGTGAATTTCCAATTTTACTGGTGCTGCTGCTTTGTTTTCAAGATTAACAATTATACAATGTTGGTTTCAGTATAGGGAGAGAAAACACTTAGGCTTTTCTTAAAAGTTTGCCTAACTTTCTCTCCATTCTGCAGCTAATGTCGCATGTGTTTCAAGAGATCAAGTTATCAATAAGGATCATGGATCAATCTGGACTAGCCTGGCAATTGTGTTGGCTGGAGCCTTGTATGTTGAGGAGTTATCAGTCGTTTGTTGCCTGTCAATGACTTGGAAGAGTAGTAGAGGTCTCAGGCCTACTTTCTTAAAAATCATGTGGTGATGAAGGAGAAAGCAGTATTGCACTTGACAGACAGGTTGCCCAGACTGGTTGGCAAGACTAAAATGCCTTTTGCAGACAGAGAAGACATGGGCCTGTGTAACTTCTCTTTTCTTTATCCCTGCTTAGGATACTGCAACCATGTATTCTAAAAAAGCTTGTTGTGTGGATTGATTTCTGTCCAGCTTGTATTACAGTGATTGCAATCCAAGTTTTTGTGGATTTTGTGTCAGGTTGTGGAGTTTGAGTTTTTGTGTCCTGGTGTTCTGCCTATGTTCCATCCTTGCACTGAGTTAGATGGTAAAAAAAAGTTGTGCGTTATTTAAAAGTTGCTGCTGCTGACCCAAACACTGTTCCATTTAAACAGGTTCTTATTTGTTTAAAGAAAAAGGTATTAGCTTGAATAAGAAAGCAGCATATAAACTAGCCTGCCGTTTTTCGTGTGTAGTTAGGATCAGAACTACCAAGTGATATTTCCATTACAGATAAACTGGACATGAAAAATTCTTACAATGTAAATGTATGTTTAGTAGTGTGACTATTACAACATCCTGTTGCCTGTGGAGGTTTTTCTGTAGCTTACAGGGGATTTTATTTTGGTAGGATTTTTTTTTTTTTGTGGTTTTTTGTTTCGGTTTTTTTTGTTTTTATTGTTGTTTTTTGGCTGGTTTTTTAAAATTTTTATCATATCCCATTGAGTTAGAAAACCTCTGTGTACATCAGGTGGGTTTGCTGCTGTATCTGGAAGTTGTAGGACATACTATTTTATGTGAAGAGCTACAAAACAGTAAGGTAGGTGTCCTGAGATCTTACATTTCTCTAATAGAGTTTTGGATATCTTTTTCATGCTGACATTTTGACAGGATTTCCTCTACCATGGCTTCATCTCACATCCATTATAAAACCTATCTATTGAACCTGCTGTCAAGTGAGGCTGTTAGTCTAATTGTGCTAAACCAAAATTCCATACATTAGTTTCTTCTCTCACCTTTAATATATATGCAGTAGCATTCTAATAAAAGCTGTGATAGCCCTGTTGCTGCTCCTCAGCTGACAGTTGTCAGGCTCAAAGACAGCTCTGGGTGTTTATTTGCAGTAACATGTCAGACAGTGGTTTAAATGGAACCGTGCCTGTTTTCCTTGAGGTGCTGTCAGCCTTGGAAGTCTAGAATTCTAGTCCGATTTTAAAATGTCTGTGTGATAATTTAGCAAATGGTTTGTTCACAGTGATTTCAATTATTCTTTACTGTAGAGTAGCCTAATGAAGTTGTTTATATCTGAGATGTAAAAATGACATATCAGCTGAAGAGTAGATGATGTTAAAGATTCTACCCTGCTCACAGCTGGCTCTGCTCTGATCCCATAAAGCATCTTGTTATCTCCCTTTGGCAAATGTAGTAAACTTACAAGGATGTTTTTATGATCGTTTTGGTTTCATGGTGGCTATTTTTATTATAAGTCACATTTCCATTTACAGCTTCTTTTATTTTTTTTCTTTGTTTTGAACAGATAAGATGAAATTCTCTGGGAAGTAAGGGCTGCCTTATGATATGTTGAAAAGAGGAATATTTAAGTGTTTTTGCAAAATGCTATCATGATAATTCATAGTGCTTCACAGAATCACAGAATGGATAATGCTAAAATAGACCACAGTGGCTTATCTGGTCCAATCTCCCTGCTCAAGCAGAGTCATCCCAGAGCACATGGGACAGGATTGTGTCCAAATGGTTCTTGAATCTCCAGTGAGGGAGACTTCACAACCTCTCTGGACAATCTGTGCCAGTCCTCAGTCACCTCCTCAGTGAAGAATTTCGGGTGTTAAGTTCAGATTCACATTCAGGTGGAACTTTCTGTGCCTAGAAATCAGTTTCTGCCCATTGCCTCTTGTCCTATTGCTCAGCACCACTGAGCAGAGCCTGCCTCTTGACACCCTCCCTTCAGATACTGACAGACATTGCTGAAGTCCCCTCTGTCATCTCTTCTGGAGGCTGAACAGACCCTGGTCCCTCAGCCTTTCCTCAAAGTGAGATATTCAGTCCCCTCGTCATCTTCATATCCTTCCACTGGACGCTCTCCAGGAGCTCCATTTCTCTCTTGTCCTGAGGAGCCCAGAACTGGACACAGCACTCCAGCTGTGCCTCACCTGGGCTGAGTAGAGGGGCAGGATCACCTCCCCTGACCTGCTGGCAATGCTCTTCCTGATGGTCCCCAGAACACTAATGGCCTTCTTGGCCACCAGGGCACACTGCTGGCTCCTATTTCAGTTCCTGTTAGATAAGTAACGGGTTTAAGCCATGTACATTGACCAGTTTTCTGAACTTCCGGTATCTAGAAAAAATGAGAGAAAGATTACAAAAATTACATTCCATTAACTTTTATATGTACTCTACATGCATTTTATGCAGAAAGACACCAAATGTATGTATTTACAGAGAAAACATGATTTTTCCTTATTTCTGGCTGCATGAGCTCTAGTAAACCAGTATGTGCCATGATTTGTTAATGTTTATATTTCAGTGACTAAATGTTATGAGGTTAAGCAGACTTTGTGCTTTTCTGTTCATTCCTAGAAGTTTCTGTCAGCACAGACGAAAGGTATAATGCAAGTCTTTTTTCACCACTGCTGTAATTTTTAGCTCGGTTGAAAGTGTCGTAAACGGAATTTGTTCATTCTGTATGACAACTGCAGCACTGAAAAAAGAATTTTAACATTAGAACTTGCTAAAACTATTTTACAAGTGTTTTACACAGTAGAAACTATAACATAAGCTTTCAGGTTTTAAATGTTTTCACCTTGGGCATGCAAGGAAACCATTTTCATTAAAAGAATTTGTTCTGTCTAAAGAAGTATGATTTGAGATTGAAAGTTGGGGGTGTGGTTTTTTTGCCTCCTGTACAAGCAGTCCCTTCAATTCTGAATGTCCTGTGTTTACAGTAGAACTTCCATTGCATTTTGGTAGTACTTGTGAAACCTTGTATTTTACCTCAGAGCAACTGGCTGTTTTGTTTGAACATCTGCAAATCAAGTGACAATATTTTGCAAGGTTGAACTATTAAGAGAGATTTTTCAAGTACAAGTTTAAAATACTTGAAATTCATGGTTATGTAGTCATTTGTTTGCTAATCAAAAAGTGTATGGTAAAAATAACATTGCTGATTAGTTTTACTGCATAAAGGATATATTTAGATGAAATTGTGTTATCTCAAATTCATGTGCTAATTCTGAAATCAAACCCTTATAAAACAATGAAAACATTGGAAATTTTTTTCCATTTCTGCTTTTGGTGAGTATGTTACATGAATATGTAAAGGTATATTTTCTCCCCATATATTCCTGTTCACTTTTGCTCTAAAAGTTAGCATTCAGTATTCATATATAGAATTTTGCGAAAGTAGTTTCTTCAGAGTATTAACCAACCTGTTACTGTAACTTACTCAATTTAATGAAGGTTTTGGTTCCCAGTCTAATGTAATCTGCTCATATGACTGGACTCAGTGAAGCCACTGAAAATTAGTCTAATAATAGCAGGAAAATAAAGAGGAATAGCTAAGTTACTCTTAGGTTAGAATCTCTAAAATGGTCCATGCTTTCATAGCTGGAACCTTGCACAGATGGAGTAGAAAACAGGTGTATAAAATGAAGGACTAAATAGATTTCCATGGACTTCACTGACCAGATGTCACTTTCTGTCTCCATAGTATTATAATATCATTAGAAGTATATTGGCAGAGAAAACACATCATTTTCTTGTGAACCAGTTGTCTGGTGGATAAAAATAGTTGTTGGCATTTCACAATGTGAAATTCTTTCTTAATGTAAAGAACACTAGGATTTATCTGCCTGTTTAAGAAATAGTTAATATATCACACTAGATTCTTTTAGAGAAGCATTTGAGCACAACCAGGGTGTAAAGCTGAGATTTGAGTATTTCAAATTCAGTCCCTCTAAGAGCAAAATGCTAATATTTGCAATTATTTTCCTATTTGAAGGGGAAATCTCATGGTTAATTGAAGGAGATTTAGGCTTAGATCTTCACAAATTGAATTACTTGGGGTTTATTCTGAATTTATTCTCTGTATTCCATATCAGTCTAAAAAATGTTTATTTTTGTTGCATACTTCAGATTTTATCTGGGGTTTTTTGTGGTTTTGTTTTGTTTTGTTTTAATTTGTAGCATAATTTAAAATGCAGGTTTGGATATTTTTGTCTTCCAAAAACCTAACAGAAAATTCAAAATTATTAATTTGATCAATTCTTTGAAAGCAAAAGAAGCCCAACAAAACCAACCAGCAAAGCAGGCTGCTATGCTCCTAATAAAAACAACTTGCATTACCCTGATTATAACAGGGATGTTAGGAAAGAGAAAGATGTGTTTCAGGCAAAAGAGTTTGCTTTGTGGAAGGATTTGTGAAAAGCCAGCTGATACTTGTTAGCTCTATTGCAACTGTAATACCCTCTTTTCAGTGTTTTTAGAAACTGTCCAATTATATAATCTTTCTTTTTTCCTACTCTTTACAGAGTAACTCTGCAGTCCAGTGTTCAGAAAAATAAAACCTCTGAACCTAACATTTCTGACAGTACAGACATTACTAAAAGAACTACCAGGTCTGCTGCAAGAAAAAACAGTTTTAAAAGGTGAGACCCTCTTTACAGATCCTGTAACTGTGTTCTAGGCAAATACTTTGAGCTGTTTTATCCACTGATGGCAGGAGCTTTGCCATAGTTCAGCTCATTCTCCTAGCAATGGAAAATAAGAAACAATTATATGGTTTGTGTCATGTACTGAAAATATCTGGAACCTTACATCTTAGATAATTTATTTATGTTGCTCAGTCTTCCAAGTTTAAGAATTTTATATAGTATTTCCTAATCTGAATGAGAATTACTGCATGCAAGGGATTTTGGTAACATGAAAACACCTCTGCATGGAGTAAGAGACAGAAAAATTACAGCATTAAGTCAAAACTAAATTCAATAGACAAGTGAAATGCAGTGGTTGTGGAAAGGTAAAGTGTATAAAATGCATGTGTATACTGGTATGAGATTTTTTTTTTTTTTTTACTGAAAGCTTGGCTGATAATCTGAACTAAACCTGTTTGATAAAGCTTACTGAAATTTTAAATTCTAATTGATTTATGCAAGACTGAAAGTGCCTTTTGGCCCAGAAACACATGGCCAGACTACTACTATGTATCTTTGTATATGCATGTGATCACACCCCTCTGTGGCAACTCTCCAGGTCATTATAAAAGATGGGCCGGAGAGCATAGTTTAAAACAATATCCAAACAGTTTCCATTCTTTACAATTTGCTGGTATTTGTCTTAAACTCTTAGTGAAAAACTTTCAAATGTGTCTGTCAGGTGCTGAAGAGATTTTGACTGGAAAGAGTAAGAGATGGCACATCACTTCCTATGTTATGGGGCTTGATTTATAAATATCACTGAAAATTTAAGTTGTTTTGCAGCTTTTTCATCACAGAGCTCTTCTTTCTCTTTCTTCATCCTGTTACCTTGAAGGTAATGAAGTTACGAAATTCACTCTGTTAGTCAGTGGAAATAGTAGACTGCAGTAAATTCCATTCTGAGAATTTTTTTGTTGTGGCTTTGTTTTGATTTATTGAACATATTAAAAATAGTATCTTTTTCCTGAAATAGGTATTTTACTAAAAATCAGTAGTATTTTTCCAGGTTTTCCTTTTGGTTGGTTGGGTTTTTTTCTCCATTTTCACCTTATTATTTCGCCTTATTTTCACCATGTCATGTTTGGTCTGAATAGAATTGATGAGATTCTGCCTGCTGTTTTTATTCTTCGTGCCTCTCCCAGTTTTAACCTAACTTTCTTGCAATATTTTGTAGCTGTATTCATGCATGTGGGTAATCTGAAGAGAGATTTTCAATTCCTGGAAAGCACTTCTCCAAGCTGACCTTTGTTTTGTGTGAATACCTATCCTTAGGAAAAAACAGCATCCCAAAAATAGAGTTCACAGAAGATTTCATTAATTTCATTAAGAAGTCCTTTTAGTGTATTGCCAGATTTATGGCTCTGAAGACCAAGGACCAGGTCTCAAACTTCATTGATTATTTCCTTCATATTTTAATGGACTTTCTAAAACTTCTACCCCAAATACTTCACCATATACTGTTTCTTTTCGTCTAACTTTGGAAGTCTAAGAAGTTCAGTTCCTTTTGTATTTCCATCCAGTAATCAAATTTGTCCTTGTTCTGTCACAGTCATGGAGTTCTTAATTATTTTATAATCTGAGAGGGCTAATTGGGTGCTGGTCCCTCTGAAGGATGTTTTGGTGTGACCATATCATTTAATGGATTTAGAATGCAGTACCTTGTTAGTCTTGTAGGTGTCCTTTCATTTTTCCTGTAGCATTTGAAAAAGTGCAAGTCTTCTTTTAAGCATGGCTTTTCATTTAAGTTTAATTTCTTGAAGTATGAGCAGTTTGCACTATCTCATAGTGCTCAGATTCATTGTACTTAATCCAGATCAAGTGGATTGCAGGGCAGAGAATAATTATTTCTACAATATTGACATCCTGCCCTAACCAACATCTGTCTTTGTCAAGACTTCATTTACTTCACTGAACTTCTGACATTACTGTGTATCCTTATTTCATTTTCTTTCTGATACATTCCAGTAGAAACATCTTGCATATTTTTACATCAATCTCATGTGCTGCTTTATGTCACTTTAGTCAATTCTTTCTGTATGTGAATCACACTTGTGACCCATCCTAATGCAGTATAATCTTCAGAGGTAGGGAATTCATTTGCCATTTCATCCTTCAGACTGTTGGAGGCGCTACCATGGATTGTCTCCAGAATGATTTTTCAGCCAAAACAGCTATTTACAGCTGAAACACTATTCTGGCTTTTTAAAGAGAACATAGGGAAATTCAGTACTCTCTTTAACACTCACTGCATTTCCTTTGTGGAACATCTTTAGACGTCAGCTGCCTTCTATGAAAGAAGATACTGATGGGCATAAGCACATACCTTGTGATTGAAATTATACTGTTTTTGAACTGCGGGAAATCACACTGCCAGCCCATAACCCAGTATTTCTCTGTGGATGCCCTTATTTCTCCAGTTAAGACATCTTCCTTGCAAATTTGCCAGTTACAGAGAAGTTCGTGTCTGTATTTTAACAAAGTGCATATTTCACTTCCAAACCAACTAAGTCATAAGACACAAGCTAAACAGTCTTTTCCATGTTTCCACACAGAACAGAATTAAATTTAATTTATTGGAAGTAGTTGATTAGAAATGAAATCTTAAGTGGTAAAGGCATTTTGATGGGTAGAGGTGCTTAAGGGAATTCAGGTAAAGTTATTACAAAAATGGGGAGTATGGGGAAAAAAGTATGAAAACTGTATAGAGAAAGATCACAAAAGCTAACAAAGAGGAATACAGTTAAAAAATCTCATATGCATTTGCTTTGCCAGTTATTACAAAGCAGCCTTCTACATCCTTGTTCAAATACTGAAAAACACCTGCAGCATTTCAGAACTTTTCTACATGTAATCTAAATCTAAACCTAGCTTTAAAAAAATATTAATATTTCTGTCCTATTCTTCCTACTTTTCCTATGGCCTGATGCCTCAGAGGGAGAAAAAGAAAAGGAATGCTTTACACAAATGCACTTAATGAAATTGTGGTGCTTTGAATCCCCTTTCACATTTCTGTATGGAAGAGACTTTTCCTCATATTGTCTGTGATCAGACCAGTCTTTGCATTCTTGACAATCACTATAGCTGTTATTAAATGCAGTGACTTTTACTTTTTGTTTCTTTCTTTGAAGTACCATTTGCTTATTTTACCTTGCCAGAAATGCTTGCATTTCTTTAACTTTTTCCCTCAAATATGTTTTATTTCAACAGCCAATCCGTCACAAAGACTAGAACAGTATTGCGTTGAATTTCGAATAAGCCACCAGTGTTGAAGAGGATATTCAGGAGTGAAGGGGATATAGAGGGGACTTGATGCAATTCAAGGAAGATCACTTTGGCTCTATTTTTCAGCAAAAAAACGAAATAGAACAATCTCTTTCTTACTTGTAGAATAAAATGAAAGGTCAAAATGTTTGGTAGACCTTTTTCTACTGTGCTAACATTTTCTCAGAACCAACAAAATCAACATACATTCAGACTCAGGTGTAAATATTTAAGCTCTCTATTATAAAGAGGGCTTGCTAGTATGTATGATGCATGTGTATGAATTGTGATGGCAATCACTTAGCTGCTGACTACCAAATGGTGGGAGCTTTTAAGTATATAAATAATCTGTGTTGTGCATTCAGACTGGGCTGAAGTCTTGAGTCTGAGAATCAACCACAAAAGCTTTTTTTTTCTAATAGTATTGGTACTCTCCTTTGATTTCTTTCTTACTTTGTATGAAGTTTTTTATGAAGCTGCAGTATTGAGTACACAATGTAACTATTGTCCACCAAAGAGTGCTTTATTGTCAACGGTTGTGTGGTTTATTTAGGACAAACTAATTGTAAGTGATTAACTTGTTTTTAATAGTGACAGCTTTTTAGTTGTTCACAACCAATTACTCTTTGAACTAGTTATAACTGCTTTAAATCTGGTATGATTTTAAAGGGGAGGAAAAACACTACCATTTAAAGCAGTGCTGTCATATTGAAATGTCATTACTGTTTAATCACTGAAACGTTGCTCTCTTCTCCTATCAAGTCCTTTAGGTGAAACTTTAAATTACCGTAAATGAAAGGTAAGAATTACACCCAGATTTCATTGGTATGCTTGGTAAAACCAGTAATGCTGGTTTTTAGCTTTGGGACAGCTAATGAGTGCAGCACACCAAAAAAAGGGAAAATAAAGGCACCATACAACTAAAGTAGAGGAAGTGAGGGGCAGGAAAAGATTTTGACACTTTCAGAACTAGAATTCATCTCTGTTAAAAAGCAGTGTAATTTTTAGTGAATCTGCTTGAGACTGAAATTTTCATCCCCTACAGGACTACAGTGTTTTTTTCCTACAATTTTTCCCATTATGGCATTTCAAAACTGATGTTCCCTTGTCCACCAGCTGATGGTTGTAGCTGTATATCCCTCAGATGAGGGCTGTTACCACATAGCCTTAAATATCAGTCAGTTGCTGTTGATTTAATGACTCTTATAGTAGAAAGTGGGAGAAATCTAAAATGTTACTAATGGAATAACTGAAGTTTTTAAAGATGCATATTACCTCTGTGAGAGAAGGATGTTTATTTCAATGAATGTAAATGTTCAGTGACTAGTTTCAATCTACATCCTTTTAAATGGAAACTAAGCCTTTTGTTAGGCTGGTGACTTTTGAATGCCAGTACGAACAGCCCACAGTGGTTTCAAAACATTTTTCAGCAAGAGAATCATGAACTAGAGAGGAAACAGGATGTGAAGTGTAAGTAACCTTACAGGTAATATCCATGCACTTAGATAGTCAAAATCGGCAAACAGAAATACAAATTATAAATAAAATGTTTAATGCAAAATAAAGGAGCATTGAAGGCTCAGATTCAATCTTTTTTTTTCTTCTTAAACTTCCTTTTCTTCTAGATAAAAAGCATCCAAAAGAGAGGGACTGATCGCATCCAGATGAGATTTCTTGGGGTTTGAATGGGGTTGGTTTCTTTGTTTTGGACGGGCTATTTGTTTTGTTGGGGGTTGCTTCAGTTTAGGGTTTTTTAGTGGGGGTTGTGTGGTTCAGGTTGGTTTTTTTGGTTGTGTGGGTTTTTAAGTAAGCCATTTGTGCAAAAGCTTATGTACAAGTAACCACAATAGTAAGTCTGTTGTGCATATATGAATTTATGTTTATTTTTGAACAAAATTATCATCTTGGAAGGCAAAAGGGATGCAAACACTGAAGTGAGAATCAAAGATTTAGTAATATTTACTGTGTTTGGCTTTGCCCTTCTCTTAGCTGAGCTGCTTCTTTTAGCATCTTTTTTTTACAGCTAAAAATAATTGGTCTCTTTCTCATCCTTTCTAAATTCCAAATCAGAATTTGCCTCATTTAAAGTACCCAGCAGAGTCATTAGCACTTCTAGATTTACCAGAAGTAAATTTGCATAATGCAAGTGCACAAATAATAGCAACTCTAGCTAAACCAAAACTGCACGTTTGACATCAATGTGTTTCAGGATACCCCATCAACCACCCAGTATCTTAGTGAAAAATACATAAATGTCAAAGGGATTTTACATGTAAACTTTCCAAACAGCCTTATATGGAAAATTAACTCAGTACCTCATTGTGCCCCCTCTAATTGTACTGCTTAATTTGTTATGAATTTTTATTACTTTGTCTAACATTTTTAATATACCATACCAAAGGTGTCTTAGGTACAAGAATGAAGACTGGGCATGGGTGAGGAAGTCCTTGGTTTCTAAATTTTTTCTGAATTGTGAAGTATTACGTGCCAAAACTGGTTGTGATGTGGCAACTGCACCACCTTCGTACAACAGAGCAGCTGAATGAAGTTATTTCTCCTGTCATCAGTTAGGAGATTCTCCTTAGAAGTTCTTTCCTCTTTCAAATATGTGACAGATGGAGTCTTCCTCAGTCTCTTAACTCAAGATACTACATGCTCAAAAACTGTAGCATCTTGGGTGAAATTGCTACTTTTCATTACAGCATAAAAAAAAATTAACCTAGACCTTGTCCTTTTGCTCCAGTAGAAGAAGCACTGCTGATTTAAAACAGTAAGAGATTGTAGAAAAAAAACAAACCAACAAAACGTAAATGTGATGTTCACCAGTTTGTTGCACTGCAGTTTTTATATTAATTGTTTGCAGACTGTCATACATAAACTCATGTACAGGCTATGAAGGCCTAAAATTTCTTGACTAATCAGTACTGTTCATCCTGATTATTTTTAAACTGTGTATTTGTAATCATATTTTTTAAACTTGGATTGACAGAATGAAAGTTTATTTTGCTGAAGGTATTTTTAAGATAAAGCTTCATGTTATCTTGTAATATTAATTAGTTCAATATGAATTTGTGCGTCATTTGAAAATGCATTTGATTTTATACAAAATACTGAATAGTGAGAAGTGTAAACATGAATTGTATAAAATTAATCAGAAGATTTTTTTCTGTTTTATTTCCAGTATGATCACAAACCCATCATATCCATACCAGACAGATTCATATGCGCACTGAAAAAACACAACACACTCAGCTGCCTGAAAACCTTTAATTGTAGCACAGATTCTTAAAACACATTTTTAAAATTTCAAAAATAGATTTTCTGGCTCTACATTTCTGGGAACTCACACTGGAAAACAGTACCTGTATTTGAATTGTTGGGATACTGTTACACAGTGAAAAACGCACAGTAAGACAGATCAATGAGGGTTTAGTTATTATTTCCCCTTCCTCTATTATTATATACTACTAATTTTTAAAAACAGGCATTGTCTTAAGTACTATATACTTTGATACTTACCATGACAGTGAAGACTTCCCAAGAGAATTACATTTTTAGGAACACTGATTTTTGCACAAGCACTGGTGATGGCCTAGCTTTGTCTTTAAAAAAATATCCAACAGCAAAAAATAGTGACCAACTAAATTACTTCTTATCACCCTTACCTATATTAGAAAATGCAGAATTTGCATACACCAAGCAGAGCCTGTTTGACAAACATGTAAACTTCTGCTTGCCTTAAAGAGAGGGTTTTATAGTTGGAAAATCTGTGTTCTTCCATTATAAGGTGATACTTTCCAAACTTACATTCAAGTTTGAGCACTTTTTCCTGACAAACAAGCTGCCTGATGAAGAGTGAATGGTGTGTTTTGCCTGGGAGAATACCACTTTATGTACGTGATGCCCACAGGAAAACACAGTTAAGCTCTATCACACATTAGCAGTTTAAGGAGTACTGGCACTGGGCAGGGAAGGGCAGAGGACTAAAAGAATCCCACAGAGAAAAACTGAACAGTGGCCCAAGACAATTCCATTGAGAAGGTAGTGCACTGCAAGAATATTCACAGTAGTTCTGAGTAACTTCAATTTGCATCTATTTAGCCTCCTTTGCATTGCAGTTTCTACACTGCTTACATGAGAGTAGACAAAAACATGCTATAGCAGAAAGATTTCATGTATAACAGTGCATTCTAAGTCAGGTTTTAGAGAGAAACTATGCTTTAAACCTACCTGACCAAGAGTTTGATGAGGAAGAGAAGTTTTCTACTTGCATTTCTGATTTTGTGTTTGGTTTTATATGGATGTGACTGCCAGGTAAGTCCTAAATATAGAATACAACCAAGAGAACATAGACATGGGTGATACGCATTTGAAGCTCACAGAGCAGTTGCAAACATGATTTTATCTCAACTCAAAGGGAACATGGGGTAGCCTTTGTTTTGGAAAAATGGTTATCAAAGTTTGAGTGGATCAACCACGACTTCTTTAGCAAGAATGAAGACCAGGCCAGCATGGGTAGAATGAATACATGTAATATAAAAGCCAGACAGCTGCCATAAGAATTGCAAAAAGAGCAATGGGCTTCAACTGATCAACTCTCCCTTTCCTTTTTGACACCTGGGGACACCTGACATGGTGTCCAGACAGGCCAAGCAGCCAAGGTGTTTTTGACCCCTCAGCTCAGCAAGTGGTAGCCCTGCTGCATAAGAGCATAGCAGCAGATGAAAAGCTCTTCTGTGCCACTAGCACCTCCAACTCCAAGCTCTTCCAGCCATGCCAGTTGCTGCAGCTCAGTTGCAGCACTAACAGGATAAAGAGGCAAACCCCAAAGTCCTTGTACCCTGACAGCAGAATGGGAACAGATCCTTAGCATCAGCTATTACTAATGCAACAAAATCCTAAGTGAGTGATGCCAATAGCAGGAGGGTAAATAATGAGACATCAGTTCTTACCCTTGTGAGCTTGCTTTTGCCTCTGCCAGTGCTTTGATACTATTCTTTTAAGATAGCAGAATAATTCCATTTTTTCTATTCCATGTTTTCTACTCTGTGGAAGGGCTCAACCTCATCATCCCTCCTTAAAAGGCAGCTTTTCTCTAGACCTTGTATTTCTTCCAGAGTTCATGTTCTGCTATTACTAGATTGATCTTTCACCATTCTTCCCAAAATGGCATGCTCACTGGACTGAATCTCTAGCCAGTATTTGCAACACATTATATTTGTCCTGCTTTCATGCTTCTGGGTCCTTTTTGTCCACCTCTTTAACCAGATATCATACCTACTTAAAAGTGAACTGCTGTTTAATGTTGAGGTTTTTGAGTTCTATTCTTCCTCCCACTGATCAGACCTTTCCAGCCTCTGGTCTTCTTTCACTCTGGTGGCAGTTTCATTGAAAAGGTTACTAGGTTTTACTTTTCTCACAATAGCTTCTAAGATTCCAAGGCTTTGCTAGAGCTAGCAAAAATTCTGAAAAGCAGCACTCTATCCATAAGCAACAGAAATACAACCAAATGACTAAAAGGTAGAGAATTCCTGGATCAGAGTATGTCAGCTTGTTATTCTCTTCTGGCATGAGAATACAATTTTTTACCTTATTGTTATGTTTTGGCAGAGCTATCCTGCTGATTCAATTATAGTACACAAAATTCAGTATCTTTCATTTAAACAGTAACTGTTGTACAAATCTCAGAGGAACTACTGTTGCTAAAAGCAAGCAACAGCTTATTGAGTCCTGCTAACTAGCTGTAAAACATCGCAGAGAAACAGAATATAGATTATGAATAGTCACACTGGTTTGTTTTACTAGTACCTAGTTTAGTTACCTAAACAGGAAGAGCAGAAACTTTACTTCTTTTATTTAGGGCTGGTTCATTCCCAACATAACACTGTCATTAAGTGTGATACAGTATCTGAAGCTGCGCTGGAGACACAGCTATCTGCAACACTTGTATCACAAATTCAAAAAGGCATTTGTTTTCAGAGAAATAAAACGCTGCTGAAGATCTAATGTATTTCAAGTTAAATTCTAAGTAACACAGCCAAAGTGTAAGATTTTACTTCTTCCAAAGACTGAAGGCTGCCCCTCTCCAAGCACAAACTGTTCAGTACTTGCTCAGCATATGCTCCTCAAAGAGAAAAAGCTCTGATTTCATGCTCATTATTCAGTGATTAAAATGTACTTTTTATGCAAAGATAATCATGTTTCACATTCAATTACTGATCCACTGATAATGAGTCAGCATTGCATTACTTCCAACACTGCATGTGTATATTTGTATATATGTATATATGTGTATATATACACACATACTCAAGTTTTTTATGAATGCACGTGTGTGTGCCTGTGACAGCTCTGGGGGAAAAACAGGAAAAACGATGTTAAAATTGTGAAAGATTTAAAATAATCTTAATGGCATAAGTGTACTAGAGGTACAGATTTTGGGGTTGGGCCCAAAGCAAACTTATACTCCAAGGCCTGTTTTCATACAAAAAGAGTGCAGCCATCTGAAAGCTCATTTCCTATGGGCTCAAATGCCCAATATTCTTATTTATCAACTCAGGGGGTTTTACTTCTGAGTCTTTTTATTCATTCTTTGGTATTCTTATCTTGAGTACAGACATTTCTCTCCTCTTTCTTTTAAAGGCACTTTCATATTAATATATGCTTGCCAATCCTAAACTATAGTACTGCATATGATTCAACTGAACTACATGGTATCAATACTATCATATATAAATTAAAGTCACGGAGAGAGGCAAATTCCTTTTTTTGCAAACTTACTGCAACTTACATGAATCTAAAACTTAAACCTGAAATGTAGCAGTTTTTCCTAGGCCACTCACCACATTATTCCAAAGAGTAGCTGGCAGTAGTGCATTAAAGAATAACGTGACTAAGATATGCAACACAATTTAATCTCTTCTTAATAGGCATGCTATGTTCTACTAGTGTTTGTGTATATATTTACACCTGCTGTCAACTGCTTTACATGAAGGAGTAAAGCTACACCAGGAGTGACAGCAGCAAATCTGTGCTAAACAGATACAGCTATTTTGGTATCTTAAATATGACAGATGACTGAGATTTACAGTTCTCTTATCACAGCTAGGCAAAGAAATTGCATCACTGTCATCACAATTAATTTCTTTTCTATACATGGGTATACCATCAACTAGGGAAACTGTTAGGTCATATTCAAGTCTGACAGACTGAAAAATAAAATTGTCACACATAGGTGCTGTAAGAAACTTCTGGTTTAAGCAATAATCATTTACACTAAATCTCATTATCACAAAGTTTTGGATTCAATGGGTTGTATTTTTTAGTTTTGGTTGGTTGGTTTGTTATGTTTTTAATTAAACTATTTTGTAATGAGTCTTTTTTCCTTTTAACCAGGAGTTTAACAAACTGCTGACCAAAAGTGGATTATACAGATACATTTTCACAAGTCCTTTAAAGCATTCCCCAAAGAACCTATTTGTCATTCTGTTTTGAAAGGCAGATCAAAGAGGAATATACAGTAACTTTGCAACAGCAGGAAGAAGACTGAAAATAAAACAATTCTGTCAGCCTTCCCAGAGAACAGTCAGAAATATACTGACTGCATCACAGAAGATTGAGCCCAGTAGCACAACATAGCAAAGATTTAAATTTTTAGTAGAAAAAGGGAGGGTTACTTTTAAGTATATGAACACTTTCCTTAGCAAAAAGAGGCCTTAGTAGAAGAGAAGGCTACATTCAAAACATGACAGGAAATAGAAGGAAGGCCTGCAAAGAAGCTCTCCACATCTCTATGCATATACTCACCCCAGCAAGTAAAAATATAAATAAAAATTCAGATACATCCTTCCCTGTCCAATGGGAAAATGGGAAAAAGAAGGGAAGAACAAGCAAAATATTCCAAGAACCCCACAGACAAAAATCACTTCCATTACACATTAATTAAATTGCCATTTTTGGCAGAAACAAACAACACTTTACTTGTAAAAAGGGAGGCATCAGGCAAATCTTAAACTGCAGTGATTTCAAGTAACACCTTGTGACTACAAAGTGAAGGAGTCATGTATTATTTCATCCAGTTCAGTTACTCAATTAGCAGTAGCATGGGTTCCTCTAACACCAGCACTTTGCTTTTGCACGTTCTTCCTATTACAAGTCAGAGCATCTCTATGCCATTACAATGAACTTCTTGCAGAATACAAAATCTCATGTTATAGCAAATTGTCATATAAGTAATTTAACAGTGTAAAAAGAAATTCTTTGGGCTTAACTACTCTGCAGACCATCAGTTTGAAGCATATAGAAAAGAGTCTTTCTAGGATGACTACATCCTATTTGAAGAAAGCCTTATCAGTGAGAAAAGTCTTTTAAGATTGTGAGTATTCTTAGAGCTTACTCCAAAGCAAAACTTTTTTTCTAAGTATCCACTATTTGCTCTCAAAGGAGACCACTCAGAAGTGAGGCACAGAACTAGAAAACGTGAAAGGTTTATATCATCTGCTTTGAAAGAATGTGTTCAAGTTGAGCAGGCATTTGAAGATTCCTGTGAGGCTGACAGCTACTTCCAAAATGTCCAGTGTATTTGTCCTCTCATTTCTGTCATCACCTCTGGCACCATTTTCTTTTTTCTCTCAGATCCCCCAGAACAGCTCTCAGTGTCCCCCTTGGACAGGAAACAGTTAAAAAATCTGGCTCAAGTATGTTAAAGCTGCAATGAAAGAACATTGCATCTCATCCCCAACAAATTTCTTGGTAAGGCATGAAACATTTCAGTTTGCAGTTGCTCCTGCTAAAATTAAGAGCTTCCTTAATAATTATTATTTTACTTAATTTTCAAAGTAATTGCAGACTATATCTTGTTACTGAAGTAGGATTTATGGTTAGGTGTCAATTCAAAAATCCTGTGCTGCCTTGATTTTAAAGATCACTTCCATTTAGAGAAACGTTCACTTTTTTTTGGTGAGTACAGATTGCTGGTTAGGGTTTGGGTTTTTTCCCCCCACTTTTATTCCCCCAGACTACATCCAAATAGCAAAAGCTTCTACCTACCACTGACTTCTTAAAATAATACCTCAAACCCAAACCAGTGTGCACTTTTCTTTATTTGCCAAACTGAAGACGGCAACTTGCAACTGTCTGAAGTATACACTTCACCCAAAGGAAACAGCTTTCAAATGTACAGTGAAATTGAGTCCCAATTGTAGATCATGTTGTACAGTTTGCATTTCACCATGGTGTCATGGAGAACTTAATATAATCTCTATATATACATTTTTAAACACTCTTCCCTTTAACTTCATTTGAAGCCTAGTAGGGAAATACTGTAAGCCTTCCCATAGGTTTCACAAATGGAGGCAGACACTGGAACCTGTGACAGGATCCCAGTCCACCCATATTTCGAGAACCCAACTCTATTAGCAGACAGCTGCAAACATTCCACACCAAACACCCAAACAACTTTCCAAAAGGAAACAAACAGGCTTCCTTAATCCACACCAGCATAGAGCTGGTCTCTTCATAGTTACAAACTGACTTTGAGATATACCACCATTCATGATGGGTCTTCAAGCTAAAGCTGGAAAATCCTCAGGATCATCAGGATTTGGAGCAACAAGCTGCACCTATAAAGGAAGAAAAGAAGTTTTATAAAAACGAATGCATTTCAAAAGTATCTGACAGCTATGTATATATATTTTACCCTCAAAAGGGTTCATTCTTCTACTCAAATGCTACTACTACTAAATGCTACTTCTACTGAAATTGTATCTATCACTATCACAAACTTTTACCTCAGAACTTATGATTACTATAATTTCTTCTCTGTGAATGTTTTTATAATGCTGCCTAGAGAGGACCAGAAGGTCACAAGTTCTGCAGCATGGAATGAAGAAAAAAGTAAAGCAGTCTCAAGCAAAATACTGCATATTTTTAGAAGCAGCATTGTTATATTTTTGTATTCTAGGACTACTGAACATATTGGGTTGTAATTTTAATCTCTGTGATCTGTTACCATAAAGAACCTTTTTCTTCCAGGTGAAACAAATCCATATTATTCTGAAAGTTCCCGGTCTTAAAGCATTTTAGTCACAGTAAAGCTTCTGTTATAGTATAAAGAATAAAGATGCCATTTTCCAGTGTGCAAATGCTTTTTTTCACAAAGGACAAGATAAGTGGAAGCTTTTTATAATAGTTATATTGAACACATGAATCATTCTGTAGGATCACAGATTTACTGATCTCACTGTCAGTAATCAAAGTGTTACTGTTTCATACTGATTTTTTTCAAAGAGATACAAGCCTTTAGTTATTTTAATTACTTCGCAATTTACATCAAAACTCATTGCATTTTTTCCTCTAGTAACCATTAGAGCATCTAGTAATCAGACCTTTTGAAATGTATGTATTTAGGGTTGTGAGCCTGAATCAGTATTTAATTTCAAGTAACATAATATGGGCCAGGAACTCAATATGCAGGACAACATACTATGTATGAGACGGGAATTAGAAACAAACCTGTTACTACGGAAATCAAAATTCTACACAGAAAGGGGCAGGACACACACAAACACCATCAACAACAGAAAAAAACAAACCAACAAACAAAAATCCAAATAAACAACAAAACCATGAAGTCCATTACCACTACTTCTGTTCGAGGCCCTGTCTCTTCAGATCTTCTGCCACGACCACGACCACCTCGTGCTCCTCTTGATCCACGGCCAGGGCGAGGAAGACTCCCAAAATGAATATCCAGCTGAGAAGTTATATCTTTCACTGGTTTTCGAAAGACATGAGAATCATCTTCAAAGTCTTCTTTTTGCAACTAGAGAGAAGATATGGTTAAAGCCTACAGTTTCCATGGATGAGCTTCTCCCCTCCCAGGTATGCATTCACACTTATATTACAGACTTAGCAGCAGATGAACCAAGATGGCATCTGGAGAAGAAGACAGGCCTTAACTTGCACAGGATTTTAACACTGATGAAGTAATTGCAGCTTCCCAGATGCCTGGGATAGTTCTTTGCTGGCTCAGATATTCCTGGCAACAAAAGATTCTGTACCAACTCCATAATACTGAAGAGGTTTGTCAGAAATATAATCTAGGAGGTTTTCAAAGGGACTAGAGCATCAAACCTAAGCTACTTACCTCTACAGTTATCTCAAAGTAATAAATAAAAGGTCATACCAAAGGTACTTAATTGATGTATTCATCTACATGCCTGCAGCTATGAGATTACTGTGGTTTTAACTGCATGCTCCTAATAGCTACTGTCAGACTACTGCCCAGCATAACTTTAAGGGGGACTGTAGTAATGATAAAGTATGAGTATGTTAATTCATCCCTTACACTGATTAATCATTTATTCAGTGTCTAATTCAGGAATTTCACTTGCCTAGGTTACACAGTTTCTGTACCTCCTGTTCTGTGTTCATTTTAGCAAGGTCTCTTGGTACTACCAGAACAGAAACTTTATGGGCAAAAGGAACAGAAGCGTGTATGTATTCTTCACACACCTGTGTTCTCTCTTCAGAGTCTATGGAAAGCACTCTCCCCCCAGCTCTACCACTACCTCTCGCAGAAAAGAGGGGATAATGGCAACTCTGACCTAAAAAGTTTCACTAAAAAGAATGCAGACTCAATGATCTAAAGTGATTAAGCAAGTTCTGATCTTAATATAAGTACAGAAAATATGTGCATTCATAAATGCATGTAGACTTCAAGGATCAAAATTCCATTGTGCTAGACTATATGCATATATATAGTGACCCCCAAAATCTGAAATCTAAGTAAGCTAGAATCTGAAAGAAGCTTCCCCTCTCTCCTCGGAACAAGTAGTTCTCCCTGAAATTTCAATCTAAATAGTATCATGGAGTAAAATTTAGGGGAAATGGGGAGGGAATGCACACTACAGCACCACAAGCTCTAAGAAGCCGGACTTGAAAAAACACACACCCTAAAAAGAAAAATTCATATTTCCAAGTCCACAATGAGATACATGCAAGTGTATACTGGCAAGTAAGCTAAACTGAGGAAAAGAAGTGTATAGTAAACCAAGTGTACAGAAGTGTAAAGTAATTTATAGAAGTAAAGAAGTGTATAGTAAACCAAAAAGTTTCATAAATCAAGTTTTTTTAGCATTACCAGAGACCTATACGGGTGGCAGCAGCTGAGCCATAAGGTACAAAAACTTGGTATTGATATATTTGCATAGAAAATAGGGGCAGTGATCTGAGACAAAAAAGTTGAACATACAATTTAAAGTCAGTTTTAGGGCACACGTCATTGCAGTGATAAAGCTTACATACTGTTTTCTTGCCTATTCAGATTATACTAAAACTAGTAGGAAAAAAACCATAGATACCATTTCCTAACCCTGGGCATAAAGGAGAATTTGCAGAATTCTTGGGTCAATGCTTACATCATCACTGTATTTTGACTTGTGAATCACCACTGCTTTGGAAGGAACAGTGGATTCTGGCTTCCGAATGTTGAATTCGGGCTTTGGTCGATTCCGTTGCTGAAGATTTTTCCACTCATCTAATGTCATTTCTTGAACCACTTCTTCCATTGGCTCTCCTTCAGCAGGTCTAGAGTTTACAGTTTTAAAGTAAAAAGCATTAGCTTGCAACATTCCAGGATAAACAAGAACACTTATCTCCAAAATAAGGATACTAAACAAAACATTTAGAATGTTTCTCACCAAATTATTGTCAATTTCACTTATTCGCCACAGTAACTTTGCATGATAGTTTTACATTAATGTAGCTTAAGAGTATTTATGCACTCTGAAATTAGTCATATGAGCTAATGCTTTCTGCAGCTCCACCTAGTCTCATCCTGAATTCAAGCAGAATCAGATTCTAGACAAAATCATTCTTTTGATCTGGCATATTCTTAATCCCACAGTTTAATAGTGGATCTACCCCTAGCAAATATAGCCACAGTAAATAAAAAAACCCAAAAACACGCAGAGCAGTTTTAAAACACCCCAACTGCATGGTTTCATTGCCTTGTACTGCACAATGAAGATATGAGATGAATTCATGTTTCAGTGTAGTTTTCAGTCATCAAAAATTATCATCATATGATGATCGCACCATGGGATCTTCCAGGTAATTATTAACATTTCCTTTGTTAATTTCACAAGATGCTTCCTTGGATTTTTTTGTCAGATGTAGTAACAGACAAGCAGAGACTTTTTATCACTTGGCAAAAACAGATTAATCCTAGTCAAATTTTCATTTGTCACTAAGTACAATAATATATGTTCTAGAAAAACATATGGAATACGTCAGAGGCTGCCTTGCATACTTTTGAACTGCAAAGACAGAAGGTTTTATGTCTGTAAGACAAAGAGAGATAAGATACATAAGCAAAAAAACTCTTCTCTTCCACTGCTTGAGTACTCTTCTGCCACTTTTCTGCTGCTGATCACGGCCTGCCCGGGAGAGCAGCTTTTAGAACACTAAAAGTGTACCTTTATTGATACCTACAGAAAGCTATTTGCTACTAACCAGCATCACAAAGAGGGAGCACAACTTCATAAATCACCATAACTGTCTGCTACATCAACAAGCTAAATACTATGAACTACAGGAAAGCCCACACTGATTACTCCAAGACACTTGAGAAACCATTTCTCCTTACGCAGAAAACTGCTATGAATTACAATAGCAGTTGGAACTGACTAAGTATTTCCCTAACAACTTTTCTGGGAAGTCCCTTCATTAGAACCTGTTTAGGGGAGAATGGAGATGGATTTGGTTTTCCTCATTCAGTCATAGTTCCACAGTCCTATCAAATAATTATAATTTCCCCAACGTAAAGTTACAGTTCTTTTAGGTGCAAGTTGGAATTTTATCATGGAAATATGCAGACTCAAGTGACAATCAGTGATTGTGTGTATTTTATTTTTAAAGTTATAAAAGCAACCTATTGGAATATACAATTTTTTGAGGACTGTTCTGTACATTGTAGAACTAACCTATATAGGAACAGGCCAGGTCCCTCTTCTTACCTGATTCTGCAGTAAAACATTCCTATTTCTTGCCAGTCAAAATTAGACAGTATTTTTCTGAACATTCAGCATATGACTGGGAGAAGCAGAAGTAAACACTAAAGCAACCCTTAATTTTAGTTCTAGGATAAACACAGTTCTAAATTCATTTCACAGAAGAGTAATACAGAAGTCCTGTACTACATGCCTGCCCTCTGACATGCCTTTATGCCCTGTTATTTTGAAAATTCCTAATTTATCTACCAGAAATTCAAGGTTAAAAGACTGGTAAGCAGTCTGTAGTTCCATGCTCACAACAATTTGAAACTGTGTTGGAAGGACTGTTAGGGAAGAACAATAAATAGTTTACTGAGTCACATAAAAAGGGTACTGGTGAAAAAAGCAGCTACTTCTGGGAAAACACCAACGGATACTGTTGCACCTGTGAGAGTACTAAGAACACACAGCACCCAAAACATTTCAATTAGTTATCTTCAAGAGTAAGAAGCCAGATAACTTTTGATCAATTATATGAAGCTTCCAACTTGGGAATAAGTGTTAGAAAAACAAGACCAGTGGTAAACACTCAGAGGAATTACAGAGAAACATAACATAATAAAAGTGTCTATTAAACTGGTTTAATTTTTCCTAACCCACTCAATAAATCGCATATCTGAACTTTGGGAAATCTTTTTTCCTCCTCTCCCATGAACCTTTCACCATATTACAGAGACAATGTTTCAATCCTTGGCAAGAGCTGCAGAAAGATACAGAACCGATAGCAAAAAGTACTTGACAACTAGCTATCAATATTTCAATGTGCAAAAGAGAACTAAGAACGTGAGCGGGAGTTTAACAGTGAAAATTAATATTTAATGCATTTTTTGTGGCACAAAGATTGCACAAAAGAAGGGCAGTAATGTAAGTATTCAAGAACACTGAATGGCTAACCACTCAGTGGTATGAGATGCTAAAGTGATCCAGTGACTTGAAAACAAGCAACCAAAACAACAATCACCAGAAAGTCCCAAGAACAACTAGAAATATATACTCAGGCAAAAGTATCAGCCACCCAAACACAGAAAGAAGCATTAACAAGGCAGAAGCTCTAAAGGAGGGACCTCAATTCCCCAGATTGTGCAGGAGTATTGAAGAAGGAACAGATACTTGACTGCAACAATATACTATGTATGAAGAGGAGCCACATCAACAGTTTTGTTTGGAACAGATGTTATTGCTGGTTGGGTGGAGCAACATCTCAACTGAATAATGTCTTCTGCATGGGAACAGGTGAGAAGGCTACAATAGCACTGCAAGACAAGTCTAGAACACATGATGTACATGGGAAGCCTTTAAAGAAGTGCAAAGGAAATATAAATAATGCTTTTAAAAGTTTTGCATATCCATAACATTAAGACAAGATATCATGGAGGAAAAAAACCTAAAATACTAGCTTCTATTTTTCTAAGTATTAGAAAAAACATCAGGGGACGTTGAAATCTTGATTAGCAGAGTACATTAAAATCAACTAGACAATGAGAAGCTACAACTAAAATTGATCATGCCTTGGCCCCAAAAGACCCCTTTCAGGTCTAAATTGCTATGATCATAAGATAACATGAGGACATTTGACCACACAGCAACTTGATCTCTCAAAAAGCAAACAGAGCTATTGCTTTGAAAAGTACACATACATCAAAAGCACCCACTTGTCAGTTCCAAAGGAAATACCTCTGGATTTACACTGCAAATATTTGGTTTTTTTCAACTGCAAAATACAGTTTTGGTTTTTATTGCAAAGGCTGGCTTTAACTGCTAGGTTATTGGCAGTACAAATTTGTTTTAGGATGTCAAAACTCCCAAGGGGAAATACCTATGATGAAGCACAGCAACAGAAACCCGCATGTCACATTTTGGACAGAAATTCAATTGCAGCAAGTTATCTTGGGCACCAAGCCAGCATGGAAGAGTGTTCTGTGCATTATTTTCTACCTCCTAACCTTATACATTTTTAGTAACTGCTTGATGTGCATTTTCATTAATCAAATTAATAAGCTCCTTGGCACACCGGCAATCATGCTTACAAAACACTGCAGACAACTAAGCACAACCTCTGGACGTGAACAAACTGAATTCACACAAAGTCCTACCAAATCACTAAATGAGAGCCTTCAGTAATGGTTCCTACAGCTTCAGTGTCTCCAGTGGATGGCAATAACGCTTTAACTATGCCTTGATTACTGTGGATACAGTAAACAAAATACTTTTTCTTTTTACCAGAAGGTAAATAGAAAGGAATGCCATTTAGCTCAGCTATTACTTTCGTATCATTAAAGATAATGATGAAGTCTCTCTCCAATCAGCTTTTGTATTATTCAGCTGCACAAAGCAAATGCTTAGCCAGCTTTTATCAAGAAGTCAATGACATGAAGCTTTCCCAGTAAACACACAAGAGCATTATCACCAGCTGTAGAAAAATTTAAAGTTAAACAAGGTAGGACCAAACAACAATCACACAAACTACTATGGAAGAAAAATACTGAATCAAATACTTTTGAAGCTCTGGCCTGATCTATGAATGGTATATCACCATTAAACAACAACAAAGAACAATAAACAACAACAAAACAAATAAATTCTATAAATAGCTAAAAGATCTTGAAGATAAATTGTTAGAGCTTCCTAATACATAACCACAATGATACATAGCTCCACCAAAAAGGAAAACTTACTTTTTTTTTCTCACATGATCGAAAACCCCACAAGATTAAATATAAGCTCTGCAAATGCCTTTAGGAATAGAAATTGATTAGCCCATGTAGTGTACTGAATAAAACAAAAAAATCTGATTTGAATTGGTCAACAAAAGTGAGTTTGGACTGTGAAGAAAAGTTCAACCAAAATCAGGAATATGAGGAAAGTTTATTCTGCACTGCCTGTGTATTTCATACAGGGTTGAGGTTAGGTTTTGCTTTTGCAGCAAAAAGCCCTGTATTGGCATGCAGTTTGGGATGATATAATTAGAGATAAACATTGCTGATCCATTCAAGAAGATTTGAGGATACAGGAAAAAACAACTTGATTTATTATACAAATATTAAAGAAACTCTTTCCCCACAATACTCTGCAAATAGAAGCTCAGGAATGGCAAAACAGAGTCCTAAAGAAGAAGGCCCATAACTTACAGGAGCCCATAGAACCTCTTATCCAGAGTTGCATGGAAATTAGCCAGTATCACATCAGAAAGCTACACACCATCTTCACACAGACATGTTACTCCCAACTTCCAAGAGTACAGTTTTTTACTTGCAATTTTAAATGGAAACACAAGAATGAAGACTTGGGTTTATTTATTTTCTCATTCTATCTCTTTCTCAATGCAAGCACACAACTGCAATAAAACAGTAGAAAATAAATGGTTTCCTTATAGTCACTGCATTTTAGAGTGAAAATGAGAAAGATCCTAGTAGCAGCCCAAGCAAACACACAACCCTTTATAATATTGAGGCTGTAGCCAAAAGCAGAAGGTAACACAAATTAGGCTATCTGGACAGCAGGGGCAACCTCTAAGCATGTAAATACATCCTTTAAATACATCCTGAAGCCTGAACACCATATCCTACAAGCTTTTGCTTTTAAACATTAAAACAACAACAATTCTATCATGTTAAGGTATATGCCATACAACCATCCCGAATGAACTAGGCACTATTCACACAATATCTCCTCATGTAAAATATGAAGCTGACACCCCCCAAAAGAAGTGCAGGGAGATTTATGCAATTCATGTTTTGTATATAGATTTGTAAGCCTTTGAGAAAGTATTTATTGCACTGAAAGGAGTACACAGCGCAAATTTTTGTACTTGTAGGTTACTTGCTTTTTTTGAACCATTTGAATTTCAGTGGACTATGCCTAAATTAATTAAAAAAAAATACAAATAGGAGTAAAATCGCCAGAAAGGCTCTCAGTCCGACTGAATACTTAGTGATCTCTAAGAAAGATGAAAGAGTTAATTTAACTGGCAGATTTTGCCAGAGGCCTTTTCCACTGTATACACTTCTCATGCCTTAAGCTCTAGAAAGAACTGATATTGGGACATATCTACAGAGAGCTTGAACTGAAGTAGAAACAAGTACAAGTGTGAAACAAAGCAACTGACAAAAAAAAAATTAAAAGCTGAATAACACTTTTCATATTTAGCTAATACAGTCCATCCAGTACCTACACTGACCAGCTGATACAAGTTAGCCTAGAAACATTTTTTACAGTCATAATTTTTCCATGTGTATATACCTTTAATATATATGAAAACCTACTCTAAAATTAAAAGAATCAAAACTGAACTTCTTGCAGGGTTAAACAACCTGAACATATAAAACAGGTTTTGTTGTCTAGTTAGCTTTATAATTAAGAAATGAACCCATATCACTAATATCTGGAGCTGTTTCATGAGGTAAAAAAAGGCTTCACAGCAATAGAAGAGGTTGACATACTTCACTAACCATCTTTCACTCATTAGGAGATATACACCACATGCTATTTAATCATTCTTTAAGTCTCTTAAGAGACTTAAAGACTGTCCAGTTATTTTTCCTAAGCCAGTGTTCATTTATTTGCTGTGACACTGATTAGAATGAAAGTCATTAGACGAGGGGCACATTTCTCTCCCATTTCTCTACTTCTAAGGCTCACTGCATTTCTAGAAAGTCTTTCCAAGTTCTGCCGTGGCCTCTCATGAATAGTGGATACCTGCATGATATTAGTGATTGGTGAATACAAACTTAGAGTAGCTCAGTGTATATTTTAAATGTGTACAATTGCATGGGCACCTTGAATATCTGTTCTCAGAGAATGTCAAAAAGCATGGTAGTTTCTACTGTCAGACAAGCTAAAAAGGTAAAACATAGTATGTAGCTTGCCCTTAAATTATCACCAAATCTTAGGAAGTTAAGCATCACTGTGCAATTAAATGCAATCTCCAACTGTTGGTTGTATAAGTTTTAGTCAGAATTAGGGGCACACTTCCCATATTCACAAATATAAGACAAAGTTCTTCTATTTTTAAATACATGCACTTTCAAAACTTCACATTTCAAGTGTATCTCTCAATACAAGTACATCAGTAAGAGTTAATAGTTTCCTTTGCATTTAGAAAGAAAATATTTGTCTGACTGTACTTGCTCAGAGGCTCCCCTTCAGATGTCCCTGGCTGTTCAGGAGTTTCCACAGTCTCTTCCACATATGCAGTCTGTTCCGTCCCACTAAAACAGTAAGCAAACAGACCAAAACAAAACACACACAAAAAAAAATAAAAATCAAAAGTCTTCATGAGTCACACTGGAAAAAAACCAAATCAATATACTCCTTTTACCAGAATCCCTTGGTAAGGAGAAAAAAAAAAAAAAAAAGGAAAACTCTTTGATCATAAGCAGAAAGATATATTAAGCAAGTAGTTGAGCAACTAACAAAATGAGTAATATTGGGAAAACACAATTTCTGTTTCCTTTAAAAAAAAAACATGTATGAAGGTGAAATAATTCAATCCTGAATACTAATTAAGATTAGTATTAGTTGTCAATATAACACTGACATAAGGGGTTGCCTTTTTTCCTCTTTTAAAGAATTAAAGTTTACATTTTCTTTAACATGGACTTTAATTCACTTGCAAATGACAGCAGGAACTTATTTTCATTCCAGCAGCAGGCATACATATTTAAAATTAACACCTTTTAGCTTCAATGCATGATTAGCACAATTAGAGCACAGACATGCTTTTAGAATTTTTCAGAGCTTTAATTTTATGTCACTTCTACCATATCACAAAACCGTTAATATAAGTTCTGATGCTACTGAACTGAAAAAAAACACAAACAAAAAACACCAAACCTTAACTAGGGAGAAAACATGTAAGGGCAAATAAATACCTTGTAAGTTTATGAAGCCTTTTCTGATATCCTACAGAAAACAGTTTTCTGCTAGCTAGTTCTGTACTATCAGTTCAGAACAATGTTAACCTAACTGATCCTTTGAAAAGCCAGAATACCTAATCAGTCTACTCTTAATGTGAAATCCTGTATAAGGGAGAGAAATTAGTATAACCTTTCAGAAGATTTTGGAATATCAAGGCCCAAAAATTACACACCAAGACTGTATTTTTCAAACTTTTAGCATTATTGTCCAAATCCATTAAGTTTTAAAACTTAGATTTCATTCTAAAATAAAATTTTGTTTTTAAAACAATTTTGTCAGTGCATGTGTATGTGGCCAAAGATATTTGCAATAAGTTAAAAGCACTGCCTTTTCTCCATCCTTTATCAGCCTTCAATTAAAGAGTTCTAGATGTATACAAGAACAAAAGCTATTTGAAGAGATGCAAGGAATAGACAAAAGCCAACATAATCAGTAAGGTGTTAACAAATCTGAACAGAAACCAGTACCACTAAGAGATATACAGAACTAAATGGAAAATCCCTGGGGTTTTTTTTAACTCGAAGTGGTCATTAGTCACATTATGCTTCTGTGATTTTTCTAGCACTTTAAAATGTACTTCAGTGGCACAGTCAGCTCAATATTACCTTCAGAGCCACACTGAATTATGCTACAATTTTGCAATTTAGAAATTATCCATAAAAGTCCCAAAGAGAGACTGGACTTTAAGGCCAGTAATAGACTTTGAATCTTAGAATCAGCATTTTGGAGCAATTCCATTAAATATCAGTCACACTTATTTGACTATTGAGAAAAGTAATAACTTATCTCCATTAAAAGACAACTCAGCTCCAGTCAAAGGATTCTGGCAGTCTTGAGTAAACCAATATCGTCATGCCTTTGCTTCAATTTAATCTCACCATCATGAAGGAGCCAAGTTAAGAAAACTAAAATTACATTAATTACAACAACAATAGAAAGTGATGCTTATAAAGCTCAAAATGGCCATGAAACTGATGAAAATTATGATCTAACATCAGCCACAAAAAATTACAATCTGTGATGGGCACAAGTATATGACATACCTCACATCATGTTTAATTGTTCTGCAATTGCGAGCTCCACCTTCACCCTTTTTGTCATCTGCTTTCACTCCTCTAGAGAAGAAAACAATTCTATGAGTTTAAGAGGTTTTTTTCCTTTTTTTATGACCTTAAACTAAAAGCAGTATTGACTTTTTGCCAGCCAACCTAGACATAGTAGAAGGGAACAGAATACCTAAAAGACACTACTGCAGTGCTAACTATTATTTACTTGTAAGAAATGGCACACAGAACACTCACGTTTTATCGTTCCCACTTTGTTTTTCAGATTCTCGTTTTCTTCTTTGATCAAACCCATCAAAATTTCCATTTAATCCACCACCTCTTCCTCTACCTCTCATTCCACCTCTTCCACCACCACGACCTCTTATTGGTCTTTCATAGTCTAATCTTTCCACTGGTCTAAAAAGAAGATAATTAGTCAGATTTTTGTTTTTTAACCATAAGAAAAAAATCATATTGTTATATTTATGCAGCTGTGGGACACATCAGTATATAACAGCTATTGCACAATTTTTAGCATGCATCTGGATACAGTACACACTACAGCTGTTTTGGTTCTGTCATTAGAAATGGACATAAACTGGAGGAATTATTACAGCACACAGGAACAGAAAGATCAGCAATTATTAACACTGAAAACATTACAGAAATTAAAGAAAACATTATAAAACTGTCAAATCTTCACAACTTTATTATGCAATAGCTCCACCATCTAAACCCATATTCATATGCAACCGCTAAAAATTTCAGATAACTTGTTAAATATCAACTATCATGGTATAAAATAAGAACAGCCACATTCTGAAGTATTAAAGGATTAGGTGGAATCTTCTAGTACTTACGAAGAAAGCAAAATCAATATGCGTTCACTGTCTGAGCAGTAAATTCCAACTTGGAACCTCCCACATGTTCTGCAAAGCTTGCTATGTGAGCTCAGAAATGAACATTATAAAGATGCTGCTGACTAGGGGGTACATTTTCAGATCTTTACATTTTTCACTCTTGCCTTACATTTCTAACATTCAACAAAAATGTTCCAAGTCAACCTCCAAGGAAGTCCTGAAACTACAGCTCTGACAGGCATGAAGTAGTCTTGCAAAAAAACCTGCACACTAATAATGCACAGATCTGCTGTGAGGGACCTTAGTTCTCTCGGCAGAATACATACCGTTCTACTGAGAATTCCACTTGTCTTTGGGCTCCATAGGGACGGTATTCCCTGAAAGATGGTCTCCATTCAGTTTTGCCTTGTTTCCACTCTGTACTTCTGCCGCTAAATCCTTGTTGTTCTCCCTGCCTGGGCGCTCGCTTTGGACCTACACAAAAGTACACAGGGATTACTGACAGCTCAACAGTAACACAATTGCACTTACCAAACTACTGACTGAAGCGAGTTGCCTATGCATCCAAAGCCAAGTCCACCAAAATATTAAAAGTCCTTATAGCTAATGTTGCCACACAATATTTGTTTGAAAGACACGCACTTATCTTTCCTTCTGTATTGATGAACCTGCTAAATACTATGGATTTTGACACAGGTCAGAGATTTCCAGAAAAGACAGTCTAAAAAAAGAAATCTCTTTTTGCTCATAGGGTCACCTCCTCACAACTGCTGTTCCCTGGAGGAAAGAAATATCCAACAACACTAAAGGTCTCTGAGTTCAGGTGTCAGAGACCCAAATAAAAAGTAGAAAGACTTCAACACTACTAATTCCAGAACATAAACATATTCCAAGATAACATATATTTAAGGTTTTTAGAGTTTTGTTCAGCCATGGTTGGGGTCGAGAAGGATCAGGTTGGGCAGAATGAATGGAAAGAAATTGTGAATTGTAATTTGAAAACTGAGTAAACTGAAGTTTTACACTCAATCTGTATACATCTAGCAGAAGATTAAGGTTCTTTATGTGCTTCCTTTCCCATTTTCCTAAATTCTGTTCTCTATCCAGGACCAAGTTCTCCAGAAGAAAGCAAGCAAGCCATTTTGTCTGCTAGGCCTCTATATCTAAACCAACACCTTTTTTAAACAATAATGTTAGTCAATCAAGCCAGGAACAAGACTGGTGTCAAACAAAACTGGGCTACTGTTTCCACAAGAAGTACCTGTGGAATGCTGAGCAGATTACTGAACTCAGGCTAGTGGACAAGTGACAGTCCTGGCTACTCTACCTGTGTTGCTAGAATATAGAGAGAAAAAAGGTCATTTCATGCCACAATATTAAGACGCAAATTACTTCACAGCTCCATAGAAATGCCCATATAGGAAGATTTTTGATAAAAGCTTAGGTGGTGAGGATGAAGTCTAATATCATTTGTAAAAAGAAAACTTCAAGGAACTATCCAACTGGCGATTAAACCTTTTTGTTATGCAGTAAGAAAAGTCATATTTGTACAGAGAAGATAGTTTTATATGAGGTGCTAAGCGACTTCAGCTTTGCTTTTTTTTAAACTACAAACTACTTGACATCATACATTCCAGTAATTCTCTTTTCTGAAGCTTTGGAGTTACTTGATCCTTAGAGCAGTGAGCATATTTGTATTACCCAAATTATGATGTAATCTCTGGATAAAGGACAACTTCTGAAATCAGTTTCTGATCAAGTTCTTCAAATCAGGACATTTTAACACAATGCAAAATTATAAAAGATACAGATTTGTACATGCTGTTGGGAAACACCTGCGCAACACACATCTCAACTAGACTACCAACTCTGCAATTGTTAATTCTAAATCGGAATCTTGCTGTGGAAAAAAATAACTACTAATTTCTGACCTCATTTCAGTTATTTTGTTTGGATCTGAATGCACAACAGTGCATAGAAGACTATGGTGTTATTTATTTTTGATCCTCTCATTGGCTATCAGAAGCATTAGTTATTCTAAAAAGATGCCTTTGGCAAGAATGTAGTAGAGACACCCATCCCTACATACTTAGTACTAACCTCAGTTTCACCTTGAGATTCAAAACGCTCCTTAGAACTAGCAAAACAATGCCCAAAAAAAGATGCAGAAGTAATTTCAAAAAATATAGTGTTTCATTCTATTACCCAGTACCACTTAGAAGTACTTCAAAACAAGTCTTCTTTGCCAGACATGTCAGTGTATTACATGTCAGCAGCACTGAGCATACTGGATGGAGCTGTCTGTTCTACTCCGAATTTCATTGCAAGGCTATTTCACTTTGATTCTAACAGGTGGCTTCATTTACTGCAGACGGATTTTAAACACTAGAAGGACTATGTTCTACAGGTAGTAAGTGTCACAAAAACATCTTTAACTGGTTTGACAGACATTAAGTAGTGGATTAAAGCAGTATGCAGCACCTGTATCTCTCTAGAAGGACAAGTCACCCTCCAGGCAGAAGTTTGTGTGACCTGCTTGTGAATCAGCACAGCTTTCAGCTCTGCATGTAAGTGCAAACCAAACCGGAGCTTGGCAGCAGCAACAAAGCAACAAAGAAAACAATTTTGAGGAATTTTTTAAGCACACTAGGGTAAGAGAAGACACCAACTACCAAGGCTGGGGCAGTTAAGGAAATCATTGAAAGAAATTATCTGGGCAGAGGGAGTGGAATTTGAGTCTGGAGAAAGAAAGAATATTCCAAGCTGTAAAAGGAATATTGGTAATAGGTCACATATCTGTGTGTGTAACACAAACTGATTCTTAAACAATATAGCAGACAAACCGCAAAACATTAATTGTTCCGAATTTGAAATCACTAATTTAATTACTATTACTTTAAAAGGATGTCATATCTTGAATTCAGCAATTCTACTATTTGCTCCTTCCAACACTGAGCTACATCATGATTTCCACAAGGTGTTCTACTCCAGCCAGCTATGGACAAATCCGTAAAATCAGCCTCTAGCGACCTTAGATCTTACACTGTTCACCAATGCACCTTCATACTGTGTAAATGGAAAACAGAGGCTATGCACTGGTGAGAAACTTTGATGCACTTGAAACCGAAGGAGGGAGGGGGAGAAGAGAAAAGAAAAGGGCGGGGGGGAGAAGAGAAAAGAAAAGGGGGGGGGGGAGAAGAGAAAGCATGCCCAATGGTATTACTGAAGTATTATTTACAGTATTTTCACAGAAATCCAAATCAGAACCTAAATGGAAACAGTCACATACTATCCCACTGTGTACTTTTTTTGCCGTTAAAGCTTTAAAGATATTATGCCTGTTACTTGCAATAAGACCGTATGTGACATTATAGACAGCAGTTAAATGCTTTGAAAGACTCCATGACCTCTTTCTGACAATAGTGGGAAAGTTTAATAAAAACAAAGGGAGGACTATTGTAGACTGAGTTTAGTTTGCTGGATTCTTTTATCTAAGTTGCTTTGCTTAGCACAAGCAAAGTGCTGAAGTTTTAGCCACAAGCTGCAAACTTTCACCTTGAAATGCTGAATGAGTCTTGTACTATTTAGCTACAATGAAAGGAGAATCCAAGCTAGAAGATTAAGAAGGCATACCTATAATCAGAAGCTGCAACTCATCCAGCTAAAAACAGCTACAGAGAAAGAATGTGATAAGCATGTGAGCAAGAAGACCTCAAAACAAAAATCACCATTGGAGTAAGAGGTGCATGCAAGGTGTTTGAAGTACGCACAGAATAGATGCACAGGTTGTAAGGGTATAAAATCCCAGATATTTCTTTGTTCTGGGTCCCTCTGGTGAAACACCTAGCTTGAGCTGTTCCTGTTGCAGTACCACAAAATTATTGTTTTTTCCCCAGAAACTTGATGTCAGAGACTCAGCTGTGAGAAGCCTAGGGTGAATAAACTTCTTTAACAACCTATACATAGGCAAATAATCTTCCTTTACAACAAAACTTCATAACTGGAAACAGTAAAAGGCAATTCAGACACTCAGGCACTTATTTTGCTGTATTTTAGAGTGTAGAAGAATTAAGGCTCCAAAACCAGTTTTATTTTCTCCCCTTTAAAGGTGTGTGACCATGTGATTCTAATACCAAACTTCAAACAATTAATTTCATGAATTTAAGCATGGCTAATTACAAGATTTGCAGAAGAATAAGAGGATCCCAAAATACAAAAAAAAAGCTTCAGCTATTGCAAGCAATACACCAAAGAGGTACATGGAGTTAAGATTCTATCTTGTGGCATTTTGTTTTCATGTGTGCCAGTACTTACTGAATTACAGAATTGCCTACCACAACTTTCCTCCAGACAATCCTTATGATGCTCTAGTTGAAAGAATGCTATCAGGATAAACTTTTTAAGAATATGAAAATTACAGTCAGTCCAAGATAAAATTCCATAGAAACTTGCATGCCATTTTAAAACGACAGCTAAAAGCACAGTATTTAGGAACTATATATAAATGTTACCAGAGTCATGAAAGAAGAAAACCTTTTAGAAGTATTAGCAACAAAGGTTTAGAGATTTCAAAAGAACCGAGTATTATTGCATGATCAACAAATTTAATTTTCCTGTACTGGTAAAGAATGCAAGCTCTGCAACTGGGCCTTTTGAATAAAGAGCTGGCAAATGCAGTTTGGTCACTATAGCAAGTATGAACCGAGTTAACATCAAGTGGTGCAACTACAAGAGCTGCAATAACTACAACCAGCCTTTACCCAAATCCTCAGCTAATATAGTCTAAAAGTCACAAAACAACAGCCAGTAGAAGAGAAAAATACACCTTTAAGGTCAAAAGTATAGGTTATGGTGGACAATGAAATAGGAGACCATTTTCTCCATAAAAAACAAAGTTTAAAAAGTTGTCTCCTTACAGTTCTGTCATTTCATAATAAATAGTTTGGATTCTAAAGGTCAAAGTACTGCATTATCTGGCAAAGTCCTCTCAGGAGGTTTGCTTCAAACTGGAAGTATCTCCAGAAATTTAATAAAATCTGCTCTGAAAAACTCAATGAAGAACTACATTAAAAGACAAAAAAAAAAAGCTACCTTACAGAACTTTTTGACTAAACCTTCCACCCAAACATTATAACATAATATCAGAAAAATGTGACTACTGTAAAGCAAGATAGACGACTAGATGTGCTTCAAGTCTTTCTAAAGACCCTTTTTTACAGATTTAATATGCTCAAGAAATAATACTAGAATAAAACAAATCGTGAAACTTAACAAGACTTTGGGCAGTCCAAACGAGCAAACACCCTAGCAACTAGATAGAACAGTCTGGAAGGGTCCAAAGGGGGGTTTATGAAGATGATCAGGCTGCAGAATATCCAAAAGAAGGCTGTGAAGGTTATGAAAAGGTTGGTGAGTCTGCCTTATGAGAAAAGACTGAAGGGGCCATGTCTCTTCTCCCTGGAGAAGGCTTCATATAAGCCACATCACAGTACCCTAGGTACTCGAAAGGCTACAGTGATGAAGGCTCTCTTCACAAGAAGCCCCATGAGGGTGAGTGGCTACAGTGGGGACAAGTTGCACAAAAAGAGATTTCATCTGTGTTAAGGATTTCTTTTTAGTGCTACCTTACACAGAAACAACATTCTCAGGGTTAGCATCCGTCAAAAAAGGCTTTAAAATGTAACTGGACAAAGTAGCAGATGGGCTCTTCAAGGCTGCCTTTCCTAGAAGAGGTTGAACCAGACCATCCTTTGAGGTCCCTTCCAACACAGACTTTCAACCCTACTCTATAATGAGAGGATTCCAAGAACACAGTACAATACAGTGAATTCCATCATTTCAACTGTAATAACACCAGAATCTGATTCAGCTGTTCACATGGGTCTAGATGCTATTTTGTGGTGTTTAATTACTAATAAGTAGAATGAAGTTAGAGATAGTTATGCCCAAAATCAGGGGGGAAAAATCACTAAGAAAGTCTAGAAAAAAGTCTTAAGCTTAGTATGTTGTTTTTTTTTTTTTTTTTAATTAAAATTTAAGCAATTAGTTTATCAATTTAGTAATTTTAATCATTATTATTTGTTTCCCCAAACAGAGGTGCACTCTTCTAGAAATGCATCTATTATTAGAAGCTTTATGCCAAACCGTGCGGGTACAAGGACACTCCCCAGAGGTTGGTCATTCTCAACTATTAAGTTGATAGCACCCTAACCATATATAAAATCCAGAAGCCTTCTGGTTGAACCCTATGTAACAAACCAACTTCGTATGGTCCGAATAAAGAGCTGACCCCTCCCTTCCAAAAAACCACAAGATTTTTCTCTCAACGTGCCACTTGCTTAACATTTGTCAGCTACATCACCACTTGTGTGTTTACCCTAACTCAGAGTTCTCTGCCATTCAGAGCAGACTTGCTAAAACAGTACATTCAAAGGAGGAACACACAGTCAAGACGAAATCCTGACTATCCACACGATTTTAGCATCTTAAACACTGTACTTTTATAGTCCTTACTTCCTAACAAGCCCAAGACAAAACCCAGAACAGATGCTATGTTTAAAGAAGAAAGTACATTTTTAAATACAGAAGCGAAATAACTCTACTTAGAATATATCTTAATGCCCTTTCACTAAGGATACTACAGTCAGCAGTCTTTTCTATGTTTTAAATTAGCCGGAAATTGAAACAAGGTGCACGTGCCTGTTGTCTCTGTATGAGAAAAGAGATTCCTTAACACCAAGGCTGCAGAGAAAAGTCAAAGATACTCCACAGGGCCACTGTGTATTGCCAAGAATGAAGACACCTACAGGCACGCAGGAGGTAAAGCACGGTCTTCACGTACTACCATGCTCCTGGTGAGTTACTAATAACCACCAGTTCTTGTTCAAGAACTTTTCATCAGAACTTAAAGACTTCGCTGTTCACTGAAAAGACTCCTTCAATTTCTGTTGACAAACACAGTAAAGTAACCTTTAAATAAAATAAGCTGTTATTGTCTGAGTATTGGTCTTAGGGGACAAAGTCACATAGCTGCAGAGAAACCTCAAAAAGACTAGTTTCATATAACTGTTCAAAAAGACAGTGACAACTTGCTGATGTCTTCCTCTACAAAGGTGTTTATTATCCAGCACATATTTAGCACTGAAAGATTCTCTGTTCCACAAACTGCTACAAATGCATCAACTAACTGCTGTTGGGAAGAGTGGGAGACTGTAAGCGTAAGCAACAGAATTTGTAGCACTGGCAACAACTTGATAGAGCAACAACGCCAGTTCAAAGGCCTTTTTCTAGGGTATTAAAACACACAGTACAATTACTGTGGGTTTAACGGGAGCTTTTACTACAGGAAGAAAATATCTTAATAATAGATTACGTGTTAGGCTTCACTGCTTCCTGCAGGAGAATGGGAATTCACAACTCAAGAGGGTGAAATCAGATCTTCTGCGCAGAGATTCTCAGTAATTGGAAACAATCCATCAATTCTCAGACACTTTAGATACTGAATCCAGCAACCTGAAGCTCAATACCGGGTAAGTAGTACCAATCAGACTCACTAAGATGTAACAATCAGTTCCAAATGCAAGGAGCTATAGCCCACAAAGCCTCCAGCTGCAAAGAGGACTGCGACAGACTTTTTTAGTACAAAAGCCAACCGACTCCCTCTTTCCCCAAGTAATACTATGTATCAAAACCTTGCAGCTGACCATCTCTGAACACCGTGCCGAAGAGTTACCCGAGGAAATCAGCTTTTATTTAAAGGCTGGATCATCAAGGCAAGCTCATGGCAAGATAAGCACAGATCCCTGGAGACGTAAGAATCCTGAAGACACTGAAAGGCCAGAAAACTCACAGGTACCGAGAATTCACGCCTGGAAACTTCAGACACCCGAGGATACTGTCCAGGGTGACAAGCAATGAAAGGCAGCAACAGGGCCGCTAAACCAGCATGAAAACTGTAGATGCCACAGCGTAGGAGTAAATGCTCTTGCACTTGTCTCTTGGGGATATTGCTGAAGTTTTCATTTACATATTCAAGGCCTTCTCGGCTGGAAGCGCTCCGCAACATTGTATCGGGACGGTGCCCAAGTGTCACCGCTTCCTCTGAGGGAACTTTCAGGCGCATTCACCACGCTGACCACACCAGGAACCGAGTTCTGTCGGCCCTACCATGACAGCGCTACCCCCGCCACGCCGCGGCTGCCAAGAGGCCGGTGAAGCGCGGAGCCCACGGCCACCCAACGCCGCGCCGCAGGGCCCGCACCGGGCACGGCAGCGCCGGCAGCCTCCCTCCCTCCTTCCCAACACCGGCCGCCGGTCCCCCCGCCCTCGCCCCGCCGGGACGCGTACCTGGCTGCGGCGGCGCCGCAGGAGAGGGTGCCGGGCAGCTCTCCGGCTGCTTGCGCTCCTTCTGGGTCTCCCTCCTGCTGCCACCCACACGGCCACCGGGCACGGCTCTCCTGGCGACCGCCGCCGCCTCGTCGCGCTTCTTCCTCTGCTGCTGGCGGCGCTCGGCCTCGCGCAGGATGTCGAACGGGTCCGACTCGTCGTCCAGCAGCTGGTAAAAGCGATTGGCCACGGAGCACCCGAAGTTCTCCTGCATGACGGCAGCCACCGGGCTGCCCACCAGCCCCGTCATCATTCGCACGGCCGCCTCTCCTCCCCCGACCGCCCCCTGCTGCTGCGCGGAGCCGAAACAACGTGCACGCCGGGCAAAAGAAGTGACGGCCCGGCCCATGCGCCGCCTCAACGCCCGCAGAAACGCCGCAGCTTCCCGCAGCCCCGCCCCGGCCGGGCCCGGCGGCCAATGGAGCCCCACAGCGCACCCGCCGCCGGCGGCACCGCCTATAATCCCGCCCACCGCCTGCACGCGCGACCGGCGAGTAGCAGAGCAGCCAATCCCGGAGCCAGCCTCCGCCCCGCCCCTAGTGCCCAGCTGCGACCAATTAACGTGCAACGCCAGAGCTGTCAGTCACAAGCACTGACCAATGCGGTGCGCCGCTCTGTTATTCATTGGCGTGCGCACGGGTGCTCCGCGGGCACAGCGACCACGGCGGCCGGGTCCCGGTCCCGCCCCCGCGCGTTCTCCAGCAGCAAGCGCTTCAAATGTGGTATCATCACAACACGGGTCTTTTGGTACGACCTACATCCTGGAGTCAGGGACACCAGCGAAAGAGGCGCTCGCTACACTGGGAGCTCCCTAGTATGGGTATCTGTGCTGTAGGTGGCCGGCACGGTTGGACAAAGCAGTCTGGTGCTGGCACAAAGTGCCTGAAGCGCCGCGCTCTGCCGAGACAAGCAGCGCTGTCCATCCCGCGCCGTGGCACTGCCAGCAGCTCGCACTCGCAGCGAGCGGGACCCGAGCCCGGCTGCAGAGCCGCTCCGGCCAGCGAGAGCCGCGCGTGGCGCTCCCCGGCCGCCACCGAGCCCCCACGGCCACAGATTTTAGTGCAGCACCCCTGCAGGAGCCGTGTCGGCTGCTCACAGCTCTGGACCCAGCTGCGGGTACTTTGGCTGTCTCAAAATAAAAATGCCTCAATAACCGTAACCAACAGTGACATACCAGGAGACTCAACAAGGCATTTTCCGCAGAGGACGGGCACCCGGGCGGGCGAAATAAATGTGCTTCTCTTATCAGCCACAGTAACACCAAAATCTTAGCCCTTCAGGCACAATTGCCCAAAGAATAGCGATTGCAGTCTTAATTTCTGTGTTGAGTTATCATCCTGATCGTTCAAGGGAAACTAACGCTTCCTCTGTCATTATAACTTCACTGTATGTACCACCTTGTTTTTAAATTAATTTTATCCTTATTACAGTGACTTAAAACCGTATCAGAATTCTTGCTATGTTTCAAAAGACAGCCCTGTCCTCTCTTCCTTTTTGGGGTACTGGTAATTCCGTGTGCACCACTGTAAAACAAAATATGATGTATCCTCTACAGATCGTTCCAAGCCTTGAATGTAGTCATTGTATCTCTCCTGGCTTTCATGTAGACTCACTTTTGCAGGGCATGCTTACGGCAGAATAAAACTAATTTAATTGGACTTAGTGCCCTTTCAAGTTTCAATTTCATTCAAGAGATCACAAACTGTTTTGCATGGAATTAATGACAGTAAGTTCAGGCAATTATCTGCTCACAAAGAGCTTTACAAAATCCTGGTAGTCGAGTTGAATCTCACAGTCTCTGAAACGCTTCAAATTAAAAGCAGAAAAAATTAAGTCAACAAAGGAAAAATACCATTATTTCTGCACAGTTCTTATATTGTAAAAGGTAGCTACCCATAATTAACAAAAACTCATGAATAAATTTTCAATAATATGATAAAGTAATAGAATACTGTGTAAGAAATGTTCGCTTAGATCAACTGTACTTGCCTCTGAAATGTTGGATTACATTGTAGAAAGATGAAACTTCATGTGTTTTCAGTGCAAAGAAGAAGCTGGAAAGCTACTTTGTCCTGTAATAATACGGAAAAAAACATTAACACCTTGACATTACTACAGCATATCAAAAAACTCATCAAATCTTTGCAGATTTTTTGGAACATTTTCATATCAATTGCAGCATCTACACTAGATCTCCTCAGCACATATTGTATCCAAAAAGTTTTTTAGAAATTTTAGAAGTATTTTTATTTAAGTATTCTACAAGTTTGAATCAAAGTTGTGCTGTATAGGAAAGATGACAGATGGCCATCATTGGTCAGTGCTATCACTGACTGTAATATCCTTGCAGCTTTAATAGCTACTTTGAAGGTCATAGTAGAGGGATGAATATGAGGAATTCAGAAATATTTCAGCCGTAAGATTAGAGATTTGGTGTTCTGTGCGATTTGGCTTTATTTTATGAAACCTCAAAAGCGAAAAAAAAGTCTAACTGCTCAGAGAAACAATGACAGCCAAAACCAAGTGATTGCTATAAATATATCTCGTCTTTATCTGTATAATTCTGTGTCCCAAAATTAATGTAAAGCTTTAGAAAAATTGTTAGTTTTCTGATGCTCTGAGCTGTCAATTAAAACAAAATTTCTGTAAGAGGTTCTAACCTCCAAACTAATTAAAAGTTTTGCATGACAAATGAAAGTAATTTGCAATCTTTTTTTTGCTTGCAGCTGCCAGGAAAATTAATCCACAACGCCAGAGGTTTATGTCCAAAAAGGAGACAGAGGAGTCCCATAGCTTTATTCATGAATAAAAGGAGAGGTCATGGGGCAATTTCCCATGGGATTTCTCAAACTGCTGGGGGATGCAGCCTCCTTTTTATCCTAATTTCTCGGTCCCATTTCCTTCTCTCTTTCTTCATTGTCTTAGGCACTTGAGAGGTACAGACTTCCCAAATTGCCTGATACAGACCCTCTTCCAATGTGCATCCTCTCCCCCCCTCCCTTTTCTTTGTGTCTCTGTTCTTTTTCTCTAAGTCCAAGAATTTAGCATGGCCTTGGGTGAGTAACAGCCTGTGTCAATTAATGGAATTCCTCTGGAATTTATGGCTCTTACTATTGCTTCTTTCACCTATCAGTATCTGGCTTTATCTACCAGCAGGCCCACAGTTTGTTGGTAGAAAACACCTCCCTCTCATTCCTTTCACAGCTTTTCACTGTGTGCAATTAGCGTGTGATTATCAAGTTACATACTTACACAAACAACAGATATACACAAGAAAACTTCAATTTTACTGTCAAAGTGTAACCAAATGTTTTGTCTGGAATTTTACTCCGAAAAGTAACAGCAATGAATTAATCATAATTACATATTTGAATGCAAAGCCTGAATCTCACAGTTTTAGTACTAGGCTTAGGTGCCTAACCTTTCTGACAGCAGGTGACTCACGTTATGTCAACATGAGGGCTACCTCCCTAAGTAGCTACTCCATCCACATTTTCTCTACAAGTGGATTTTTTTCATACGGACAGAACAGCATCCTACACAAGATTGCCTAGCAGGTGCAGATATGGAATATGGCATATTACCAAAAGAGCCCTTGTTTAGTTTTCTTTTTTTTTTTCCTTTTTTTTTCCAAGGTGCAGAAGTGCCTAATTACAAGGGACAGTGAGATTGGAGACTGGTGTTTCTCCGACCTTTACAGCTAAGTACCTAATCACCAGCAAGGGTCATCCTGTCCTTGACCTTTCTTATAGGAACTTTCTCATCCCTAGACTTTACATTTTCTAGTGCCTACATCTCTCCTGCCTGAGGGAGAAACATCCTGAACATGTCACATGGCTCAAGGTGCCATTTTGGAGCAGGGCACCAGAACAGGTAGAGAGCATAACACTAGAGCATCTAGCAATCACCGACATTTTCCAGCAACACAATTCTACTGAGCAAAATTGACTACATGAAGTCTTAAGCCAAAAAGAGAGCTGGGTCATCAAAGACGGACATGCTTATAGAGGAATGCACGTAATGATGAGAGCTTTGTGTGCAAACTGGACATTGTGCCCTAGCTGGCAGCAAAAGGCTGGAGCCCCACCAAATGAGCCATGAACAGGTACTGACCTTCTGCTAACAAAGGGCACAGGGACCTGTCGTACTAGCTAGTAGGGGTGGGGGTGGCCAGTCACCTAGAGACTCTGCAGGACCCAATTACTAAGGAGAGGACCTCAGCCAAAGCATCACCATCGGACCAAGAGGCAAGCACAAGGGGCGTGAAGAGTGGGCGCATGGATTGTAAGGGTGTAAAAGCCCAGGGGTTCCTTAGAAGCAGTGCGTGCTGCTACTGAGTCACTGCATCACAATCAAAATACTTCCAGCAACCCGGCATCTGGGACACTGCAATGGGAAGTGTGGGGTCAAGATGGCAAAGAAAGCTTGTCTGAGAGTGTGAGTGTGGTGTGTGTGTAGGGATTCAAACAGAGCACCCATCAGGTCATTGGAGCCACCCACCGCTAAGGGGTCTCAGTCCCAGCAGTGAAAGTCTCACAGGTTGTAAATGTGACTCCTAGACTAGAATCTGAATGCTCAGACAGGAAATCCAGAAACTTGAAAAATATAATAATAAAGACTTAGATAAAAGATATTATTACCATTGCTAAGGTTTTATATAAGTCCATATTAACATAGTAACAATAAAGTTACATGGAGTGTGATTGTTTGCTATTATCGACCTAAAGGCCATAATCTAAATGTCATTCTTTAAAGAGGTAGAATATCACTTTCCATCTTTTTTGTCATGTTTTGCTCTGTTGCTTTTATTCCTGAAAGCATTTACTATCCTCAAGCTCTGTAATTGTCCATCTTAACTACCTAGATAGAACATATGTATTTTTCCAGCTTTCTCTTGAATCCTTTCTCCCTATCCTTTTAAAATTTCTGTCATGTGTGATAAAAGATGTGCTTTGTTGTAATAAGCAGGATTTGAGCTGACTGCAGGTTATATCATGTTTCATTACTTTGGTCCTTTAACTCTCAGAGAGAACTTTTTCTTGTTTCTACACTAAAATATTGATGCTTTGATGCATTGAATTGCGCTTGCAAGGGCAAGCTTAGGAGGGGGAAGGGCTGCAGGGGTGATTTCCATGAGAAGCTGCTGGAAGTTTCCTCCATGTCTGGCAGAGCCAGTCCCTGGTGGCTCCAAAGACGGATGTGCTGCTGGCTGAGGCTGGGCCAGTCAGAAAGGGTGGTAATGCTCTGGTGATAACAGATCTAAGATGAAAGAAGAAAATGTTATTGTGCAGATGTAATTGAGGCCAGAGAAGAGTAGCGTGAGAACATGTGAGAGGAACAGCTCTGCAGGCACCAAGGTCAGAGCAG